ATGCAAATTGACCCTTTTTCCACATCTGATTCGTGTAATTGGGGCGAAGTAATGATTGAAATGATATTAGTAAAATAAATGAACGTTGAATATGCATCACAAACTTTCATGAACCTATATTTTACTATCAAATGTGTCTCCAGAAGTCAAAAGTATTTTCCAAAGCAGGGTTTATAGGTGATGGCTCATTTGTGGCTTTAGCATTACTTTTCAATCATCATAGGATGCTTTTCCAAAATTTTTAAAAATAAAATAAAATAATATATATAAGAAGCTTTAGGACAAGTTTGTTTGATCCTATATGTAACGTTACTAGAAAGACTGGAAGGTGACTAAACAAAACATACACAAACACATTCACATATATAATGAAGGCAATGCATGTGTGGCTCGCTAAATTGCCTATTGAAGTTTCACTTTCAATTCAAGACCACTTTATATTTTCTTTTAAAACTCCTAATGGTTTAAGAATTTTTGGATACTTGTGACATTGTCTTACCTGAAGGACAGATTCTAATATCTTCATTTTTTTTTTTTTTGTAAAAGTAATTAAATATTATAGACTGTTAATTTTAATCGAATGATTAAAAATAAATTATAGGATACCGGATATTCAAGTTAGATTTATGAAATGATATATTAGTAATTTCATGTTTTTATTCTTGTTCCATGTTTTCTTTCTCTTCTTATTAGTTCTTTTCATCTTTAGCGGTGAAAAGGCCAGTTTATACAACTCTATGGTATAACTCGTGAAATAAAGTAAGGTTAAAGAGAACAACAACATCGAGTTGTAAATATTCAATTTATATTATTTTGATATATATGGGTCATATATATATATATCAAGTTTATTGAAAATTAGATGTTGAGAGTTTATAACGACAATTACATAACAGAACAACAAGTGTGAAGCGTTTACAATATTAAAAACATGAAATTTCAAATATTAACTATATATAAAGTTAAGTTTAAGATAAAAATAACATCGGGTTGTAGAGATTCAATGTAAAAAGTAAGGATATATTTGATGGGTTAATCACTATGAGCATCGGGTAGATTTAAAATTTATTGTAGAAATTAATGTTTTGAAAGAAAAACATTTTAACATCGGTAAGTTGCAATGGGTTTATTAATATTAATGTAGTTATGTTCTTAGCCTTCCTCAATAAGGAGATGACTGTATTACTACAATAAAATTGGTTATGCAGGTCACAGACATGAAAAAAATAATGAATATTTTATAGTTTTTGCAACGATTTGATAGTTAAAAGATGTTAAATTATAGACAGAGTTTAATAAATATGTCGCAGACATTTGCATCAGTTGTTTGCTTAATTGATGCCAAAAAATAACGACCTTTAATAATTAAGTCATAAACATATTTATATCAGTTGTGTGGGTAAACTGATGTAATAAAATGCGTACCTTTTACAATTTACTATTGCACTGTATTTGCATCAGTTGTATGCAGAACTGATGTTATAAAACATGCACCGTTTACAACTTAACTCATAAACATATCTACATCAAATGTATGGTAATATGATGTTAATGCCTTTTCAATATTGTGGTCTTTGTGAAACCTTCCTATCTTCAGCAAGGTGAAAATTATCGTATTCTCTATGTATATGTTCCTACGGCACATGTGAGTATTCTTGTTTATATTACTATAACTATAAATAATTTCTTATTTCCATCAACAAAACATCCCCTTTTCATCTCTCTTCCGAAATCGGTATAGAAATAAGTGTTTTTCTTACATTCTTTACCTTAATTACTGGGGGGTTTGGGGAAGACCTATGTGAGGCATCTTTTGGGTGTGGGATGCTCATTTAACCTATGTTCTCATCTCGTTTTTTATTTACCTGGGTGCACTGCATTTTCAAAAGTTCCATGGACTCACTAGGTGAGTAAAGTAACAGATTTAGGCAATGTATGTACAACAATTTACAAAAAAAAAAAAGACAGTGTTCATCAATGGTAGAATAGTTTTCACACTTCTACCTTTCTTCTGCAAAGATGGAGTCATTTATGGTGTACCAATGCAATAAAATGTGATATGAACTAAGGTGTCAAAAATGGTAATGCATACAAATTCACGCTTTCATCATTTAACAATGCCTATAGGACAGATCTGATGTCATGTATTACATTCTTTTAAAATTGTACATAAAGATTTTTACATCGGTTATAGAATTAAATTGATGTACAACTTATCCAAGTTTACCTTGGGGATGAGATTGAGGTCTTTTACACTGGTTGGACAACATAACTGATGTAGAAATATTACTATGTAAAAAGATAATTTTTTACGTTAGTTCTGTGAGAGAACCGATGTAAAAATAGTTATGTAAATAAAAATAATCTTTTACATCAGTTCTCTCTAAGAACCAATGTAAAAAGTTGTGATTTTTTTATAAAAAAAAAAACTTTGTGTGTCTTTTTCATTTTTGCTTTTTTTCAACCACATTTCATCTTCTTCTTTGTTTTGTCAGAGGCCTTTCCCTTTTCAGTGAGATTTTTCCAGCCATATCTCAACCTGTTTTTTCTTATACGGATTGAAACTCAGTTTTAATTTATAAGGCAATGCATGCGATTCAGAGAAAATAGCAGAGGAAGCCACATAAGAGAACGAGGAAATACCACATATTGAGTTCCGACGAGGAAAGACCTCATTTTCATCTCTATGCAATTCCATTTTCATAAACACATATTTGTATATTTAAATTTTAAGGATGATAAATTAGACTTAATTACACACAATTTCAAAATTACGCAAAAAATTTAAAAACACTTATGTGTTAGTCTTTGCAGATTGGTTTATACAGAAAATTTTAAAGTTTTACGCATATTTTACGTTATACAAATTAGTTTATACATAATCCAAAATATCACTTTTACATTATTACTCTTCTACATCTGTCTTGCTTATAACTTCTTTTTATATTTGTTAACTTTTTTAACTTTTAATTTTAGCCATCTATTTTTAAACTGCTTCTATCAACGGCTCAAATTCAAATATGAATCACTTATGCAAAAGTAATACTTTTAAAGCAACATTCTTATTACAAAAAAAGGAAAGATATTAGAATCTCCCTACCTGAAGTGTAGCTATTTGCTATTTTGCAATTTTTCCTTTCTTTGATCTTTTTGCTTTTGTCTAGCAAAAAGAAAAGTTTAAAACGTTAATTGTTTGTTCATGTATGTGGTCTTATCTTGTCCTACTACTGTTTTCCAAGTTTTACTATTTTAATGAAATAAAAATTATATATTCTCATCAGTATATTAAATACATTCATATTTTAATTTAATACTTGATAAAATATTTAAAAAGTTAAAATATATAGGAGGAGAACATAGCATTATTCAAAAAGAAAAATATAACTTGTTTTTAGGACAAAATGGCGCTGTCCAAAGCGCGATGGAGAATTACCAAAAATCATTTTTATTTATATTACTTTTCACATCATTGTTTTACAAGTTAAGTGATTCTTTGTTGCTTTTGTCGATTTTATTTACCATATTTCAACCATTCAACCATTCAATTTCAGCGTATGTACAATTTGTTTTTATTATAAATGTGGAGAATGATTTCGGTAATTTTTGTCCATTGTTGTTGAATTAAAGTAGGGATACGCTATTTTTATTTTATTATTTCTATGCTTTTGATGATAAAATCAAAAAGATATTTCAATGTACACTCTTTACCTTTCCTTTGTCAAATAAATAAAATGTAAAAGTGGTGAGAGTAATATTTATATACAGAACATTACTTTTTAAATTATTTGGTTTAATTTACTTCCACTAATAATTATTAGAATTTTAGTTATTTGTTGGGTTGAGTCTGTTAAACCTATATAAATACATGGGATTGATTTTCATTTTCAATTAGTTTAGATATTAATTTTTTTATTTTATTTTTTGGAATTCGATCTAGCTTGAACTAATAAGATCATTATATATATTATATTAGAGAACTATATTATTAATAAAAAAAATAATTATACTAAAATTTTAGTTTTTATTAAACGGTTATAATAATAAATGTAATGATATTTTCTAAAAAAATTATTTAATAATAAATGACACATTTTAATAGTGTATATTAAGATATAACAGTGTGTCAGCTGAAAACCGAGACTTAAAAGGTTAATTAATTAAATTAATATTATTTTATAAAATTAGCTATTAACTATATGATAAATATAAAAAAAAGATAAAGATGTGATTAATTTTTAATTTAAAATTCAGTTACTACGTCTTTTTAAATAATTATAAGATTTCAATTTTATTTTTATTATAAATAATTTTATTAAATAGAATGAAATAATATGAGTTGCTTTGTATTATTATTTTGATAGTAAATTTTAATGTTTTAATTATATTTTCATAAAACATAATGACAAAATTTGTAAAAAGGTAAATATAAAAAAACACAGTAATATTTTTAAAATAAAAAAATATATAAATAAATAAATAAAAATACTCAATTAATAATTAATGTTTAAAAATTGTTATTTATTTTTAAAACAAATTTTATAAGTAATAGAATAAATTTTCAATCACGTAAAATATCTTCCACAAACACCTTTTAAATTTTTTTTTTCCCCACCCCTCTTTATATATATATAGCATTTCTCTGTCTAAAAGGACCAATGTGGACCATTTATGCAATACGATGTTATGCCATCACTGGAGTAGATTATCTAAAATAACTGTTCATTAACTTTTGGCGAGATTTGATCTTAAAAGCTGGTGGGTGTATTCGGTACAGATTAATGCAATATAAAGAAAATAAACATTAAAATTATAATTTTTATTCTTCAAAACTGATTTTAAACAAAAAACAAATTATTAAAAATAATAATATTTATACCTTATATTTAAATTTAATAAATAATCACAAAAAATGTGGATCAACGTTAAGTGGTCTAAAAATAATAATAATTAAAAATATATTTTAAACCAATATGAAGGATACAGTATGGGTTGGCAAAGCTTTGTCCTTTCACATGGTTTCCTTTTCCCTCAAACACTTGCTTTGATTGAAGGCAATAAGTGCATCATCAACAGTGCAAATGCAGTGATCTAAGAAGAAGAAGAAGGCACCCCAGCACGAAGAGGTTGTGTGTTATGGTCTAAAAGCTAAAATTATGGTGCATGTAGAAATTCATGTACACACACACTTGCACTTGTAAGGTGCCAGCTTGCAAAACTTGGCAGCTGCCTTTTGAGTATAGCCCCATCTTCACGTGATCTGTTCCAACCCCCTTTTGTTTGCTTCTCCTCGTTACAATTCCTATATATCACCCTCAGCTATTCATTCTTTACTATACTACTCTTCAACCATAGCCACCATAACCATAACCAAAAGCATGGAGTCCTCAAAGATCTATGCTTACCTCTTCATTTGCATGCTCTTCATCTCCTCTGTTACGCCCATTCTTGGTTGTGGTTATTGTGGAAAACCCACTAAGCACAAGCCTGGTAAAAAACCAAAGACACCTACAACACCAAAGACACCTTCAGTACCACCCAGAACACCTTTATTGCCACCCATTATTGTGAAGCCACCACCAGTGACTTTGCCTCCTATTACTGTGCCTCCCATTGTGAAGCCACCAGTGACTGTGCCTCCCATTGTGAAGCCACCTATTACACTTCCACCAATTCCACTCCCTCCAGTGACAGTTCCTCCAATTCTTAACCCACCAAGTACACCAGGAAAGGGAGGGAATAGTCCATGCCCACCACCCCAATCACCTGCACAGGCTACATGCCCCATTGACACACTCAAGTTAGGTGCTTGTGTGGATCTGCTTGGTGGGTTGGTTCACATTGGTGTTGGAGACCCAGTTGCCAACCAGTGCTGTCCTGTGCTTCAAGGGCTTGTTGAGCTTGAAGCTGCTGTGTGTCTTTGCACCACTCTTAAGCTCAAGCTTCTCAACCTCAACATTTATGTCCCACTTGCTCTTCAGCTCCTTGTGGCTTGTGGCAAGAGTCCTCCTCCTGGCTACACTTGCTCCCTCTAAACCAGTTGAGTTCACATTCAAAAAATGCCTCTACTATTTTTTTGGTTTATTTTGTTAACATGGATGGAAAATTTCTTTCTTTCTACAAATCCTTACCCAGTTTTCTCCTAATGAGACTTGAATCTTCACTTGGAAATTACTTGGAAGTATTTAATATTCAATCGTTAAGTTCTCCTATCATTGGCCATACAAGGTCGCTTCTTTTCTGAAGTAGCTAAAACCATGCATGGTTTTGTACTTGGCTTCTACTGTTAAGCTTGTAACCCAGAAACTTGAGGTTTTTAATGAAATCATGATCATAATAGGATAGGCTTTTTAGAGGATTATAGATTATCTGACTATGTTACAAGCAAGAGAAAGGTCCAAAAGACAATAACTTTCCCATCTATTCCAATTGAAACAGTACTTGAATTAATTAAAACATTTCAAACAGAGTAGCAGCAATATTTACACATAAGTTATATATTATTGTTATATTAATTTCTTCCTAAACAGTTCATTAATGTCAAGTATGTTTACGAGTTAATATCATTTTAAACTGGAAAGTTACTACTTTCTAATTAAACTCTTGTCTCTTCCTTTTTCTTGAAGCTGCTTCCATATGTATATAATTATGAATTTTGTCAGGACACCACGTAGATCACATGGAATTATGGATGCGTGATAATTTGCATTTCCTATTAGTAATATGGTCCTGTTTTCTACCCGTGAACTTTGTCTTTGTCTCATTGGATGTCACGGCCTTTGCTTTGCAGGTGCATGGATTGAGGAATATATGGTCAAAATCGACATGAGAGGATGTCGAGCCATTCTATCTCTCTTCTCTTTTATTGGAATTGTTGTTGTTCGTTTTGCTATTGATTGTAAAACCATTTGTTTTTCATTGAGATTGTAACATGTATGTTTTAATCCTAGGCAATCAGTACCAGCAAAGATGCTTCTCTACGACATTTTGAAATATTTATATGATTTGCGCTTTGTTGAATATCAGCTTCGTGTTTCTATTATTGCATTACATTGTTTCATTTGGGGATCCATTGCTCAATCTCGAATTTCTATGTGGTGAAAAATCTTAAGCATATATATGGGCATTGAAACATATCGTTTTGGTCTCTAAGAAACTACAAAATATTTACCGTAGGGGTTCCCTTTGATGTTCGTTTAATTTTTATGGGTAAGTAATTTTAATTATTCATTTTATCATTTTTTATATATAACTTGTATTTAAAAAGTAAGGTATTATGTAAATTCCAAAAATTTCACACTATAATTATTATACTTGTTCTATAAGGCAGTGATATTCGTTAATCTTGTGTGATTTATTTTTTGTTATTGAATTAGTAAACTATTTTTTAAAATGTTCATTTTATATGACATTTTGAATGTTAATTCCTTTCATTAGTTAGTGCTATCATCTTAAATGACAAAATATCATTGATGTAATGTAAAAGACAAGTGTAATAAATCCGTTGGTAGGTTTTATGGAAGTAGGTTTTAGAAGGGGAAAAATTGTGTTTTTTTTAATAAATTAGAGAGATTTTTTAATTAAAAATAAAAGAAAAATATGATAACAAAAAGGTTAGAGAATAAAAAAATGTTTTTAGCTAATTATTGTTATTTCATGTTAAAGGTTAATAGTACCAATCATTAAGAACTTTTCCTACTGTGAGTTGATTTTACAATTGATTTGATAATAGTAGTGTCGATGAACACATTTATCGATGTTGAAGATAAACGGCAAGTTTTTCAATTCGAACGAAGTCAATGAAATTTCCTTTCACCGTTAATTCAACTTGTATGTATTTTCAAACAATATTTTATAAACATTTGCTTTTAAACGTAAACAGTTAGATAAATCTAAATACAATAAATACTAGTTTACTTATCTTTTAAGACGTTGATTTTTCTATTTTTGTTTATTTTATTTGAATATATGTTATTTTAGGTAACAAAATAAGTCAACCTCGATTAAAAGTTCAAAAAATGAAATAAAACTTGAACTCATATATAATATATAAGGTTTTTATTCAGATTATATATTGTGTGATATATAAGGCTGAAAAAGTTCAAATTACTTATTAGAGACCTATGGTATGACCTGTTAGGTCTAGGACATGTTAAACTTATGAACCACATAAGGTTAAAGATTTTTAAAAGCTAATTTGATCATCGAACTTTTTATTTTGAGCTTTTTAGACCTAATAAAAATGGGCAATTTAGATAAATACAAATTAATAATATTATTATATTATTTTTTACAATTATATTTAAATTTTCTATACATCTTTTTATTTATTTAGTGATTTAAACAAAGGTAATTTGTTGATTTGTTTAACGTGTTTTACTATGGTATACTTTTAAACAGTTTTTTTAAGTTATCTCGTTCTTTTAAAAGGTAAAATTAATATTAAGAAATATCTATATAACGTAATTAGATTAGTTCATGCTTTATCCTACATAATTCAAACCATTTCAACTTAGACGTATATATAATCACCATAACATTGACATAACTTACTTATATTGATATCATTAGTGTAAATAATGTTGAAATGTATTGTTAATTAAACATCAAAATGAAATTAAGTAAATGATAAAATGTTTTTATTAAAACTTTCAAAAATAAAGTAAGCGATTATGCATGAATAGGTTAAAACAATAATTACTTGCATTATATTTTATTTTTTTTTATAGGCAAAACAAATCTTATTAAAAAGAGTTCAAGAGGAACTCAAAACCCATATACACAAAAAATTACTTACTCAGAGAAATAAAAAGCAAAAATATATTTATGCAAAATTAAGACAGATGCAATTTCGTGAGTTCAAATACCAATCAGCTAACATAATAGCTTCTCCCTTACTAACAAGTGAAAACCATTTCCAGGATCTCAGAATAATAGAATCTAAGACTTCCCTCTCATCCAAAACACCATTGGAAAATATAATTCTATTTCTATGCAACCACAAAGACCACACTGTACTTACCCAGATAATTAATAAGCATATTCCTTCTCTTTTACTACAGCCAACACCAACCCAAGAAAGCAAGTGAGTCGATAAATCTGAAGGCAAAACCAGTGAGAATCCAAGCCAACGCGCAGTAAAGTATCAGATTTGAGATGAAATTGAGCACGTTAAAAATAAATGAGTTGGAAGTTCCTCCAAACCATGACAGAAACAACAAGTTATATCATCAATTTGAACACTACGATCAATCAGTAAACCTTTACAAGGAAGTGCATTCAACAACAATTGCCAAGAAAAAACCAGATACTTAAGAGGGACCTTCCCTCTCCATAGCCTTTGCAAGGCATCTGCCGTACACTGATCTACACTATTAGGACCACCAAAAAGTTCAAATAGCTATGAATACGCAGATTGCATTGAATAACAACCTGAAGAATCTGCCCTCCATACCCATTTATCTTCTTGTAGTAACTTAATAGAAACTCCATTCACAAGCTCCAACAAAAGATTAAAGCTCGAGATCTCATGTTGAAAGAGTCCTCTTCGCCAACTAACATTCCAAACCCATCTAGTGCCATCATGAAAATCATTCTCCAATACACGTGATTCAACATTTCTCGCCACTGCAAATAATCGCGGAAATGCTTCACACAATCGCACCCCTCCTACCCACTTATCTCTCCAAAAAAGAGTGTGTAAACCTGCACCCACACTTCTATCAAACTTCTCATCCAGCCATGAATTTCCTTGATGAATAACCTCCAGCAAATCACGCCACCACAAAGAACATCTGTTGTGAACTGATGAACGTTGAAGAGAAGAAGCTAATCTTCCATATCTAGATTCCAACACTCACACCCACAATGAACTAGAACAGTCAACACCTCGCCACAACCATTTACTAATAAGCGCCCAATTATATGATGTAATAACTTATTTCTTAAATTTAAGATGTTTTTCATTTGTTAAGAAACAATATACTTTTAATTTCTATATTTAAAATTATAAAAGTTAATATAGAAAAAATTTGAAAGATAAAAAAATTATTAAACGTAAAGAATGATATAAATGATAAAATAATTAAATAAACATTTAAATTAATAAAATTAAAAATTAAGGTAAAATACATTTTTAAAATACATGTAATAATTATAATGAAAGAACGTTTATACATACGTAGATAGCCGTACGCGTTTCACATGGAGTATTGATGTAGACCCCTAAAAATAACTGTATTCTAATGTAGCATATTAGTAGAAAATATATTATATTAACCTTTAATTGTGAGATTAACGACTACACTTTCTGTAATTTTTTAAACAATTGCAAGGGATTTTAGTCCTGGGATCGAAAAGGGACTTCTATTGACTATAAATAAAATATAATAAGTTGTGAATGTTTGTACTTGTATAATATTTACGTAATAAAAATTATATTATTAATCTAAATATTGTCTTTTTTTTTGGCGAGTATATAAATATTGTCACTGTACACTTACAATAAAATATATTATATTAATTTTTGATAAATTGTTAATACATGATATATTTTGCATAAAAAAAGTTATATCAATCTCATACTTTTAACATAAACACAATATTTATATAAAAAATGTTAAATCAAAATAGTTTCGACACATGCTATTCTAACACCAAATTAATAATGCACAGTATTCTTTACTTTAGTGATTATATACAATGTAAAACACTAATAGATGGTGATGTTATTCTTAGTTAACTGAATTTTTAAGTTTGCTCGTCAATATTTAAATTATTGCATAGATGAGTGTAAAAAATTATACTCTAATAATGTTTCCATTAAAAAAAAGGGTCAAAATTATTGTGCATTTGTACATTAAAACAATAATATAATTGAGTAATATAATATGTGATTACTTGGTTTATTAAGATATATATATATATATATATATATATATCGTAACTTTATTAACTATTTTAAAATAAATGGTTATTCTTAAAAAAAAAATATGGTTAGATTTATCGGTACCAATTTGTGGGAAAAGGGCGAGGAGATATGATGTGAATTTGGGGACCTAATAGATTTTCCGAAAATGCATGAATGGATTAATCTGTGACATTCACAACAATATATGACGTATGATTCCACCCGATGGACAGAGAAAGCGGAAAGAAACCCTGGTTTTGCTTTTCAATGGGCTGTCAAAGTTTCCAACTTTCATTTCAGGGAAAATGTTACCTTTTTAGTATTAAATCGAAAGCAACTTTCATGAAAATGATGGAAATTGATAAGTTAGATTAATTAAATATATTAATTAAATAAATTAAGTTAAATTAAATTTTAAAAAGTTAAATTATAAACTATCAAATAATTTAACCTATTTTTATATCTAACTGCTACATTTAACTGGACCTGAACTCTCTCTAATTTAGATGAAAACATATTGTCCAGTTCAATATTAGCTTAAGTAAAATTCTACTTCCTTAAGTAAAAACTAAAAAAATACAAAAAAATTTAACAGAAAATTTTATAGTTTAAGCAAAATTTGCATCTTACTTTTTTAATATTCTACTACATAAAATATTATTATTATACATGCAAAACATTTAAAATTTTTTCACATAATAAAAAGGAATTCAACCAGAGCATTTAGCAGACAAATTATGTCCTTTACTGTTAGCATACAAATTCTAAAATATTATTTGAAACCAATCTCATTTACAAATTGAAAATCGTGAAAAAGAATATTTTTCTCATCAAATAAGGTGAATATAGAGAAAAGAGAGAAGTGCAAGTATGAGAATGGGAAGAAGAAGAGAAAAGTTTAGTATAGAATGAAAGTAGAGTAGAAGTGGGAAAAGAAGAAGTTGAGAGAGGAAGAGAAAAATTAGATATAAAAAGAGAATAAGGAGAATTAAATATAGATATTGAAGAAAAAATATTATATGTAGAGGAGAAGAGAGAGAGTAAAAGATTGAGAAAAAAAGACTTAAAATTCATTTAAATCATAAAATTTATTTAAATTAATTTTTTAAAAATTCACTTAAGTTAAAAAAATTCGATTAAACAAATTTTGTGTAAATTTTTTTATTATTTTTTTAATTTTTATTTAAGCGAGTAAAATTTTATTTAAACAAAAATTAGACTAGATATTTTATTTTGCACAAACTAGAAAGAATTTAGGTCCTATTTCATTGTACATATCATGTTACTATAATTATTAAGGATCACAAAATTATTCTGATTTTTCACATTTACATATTTTCTTTCTTCTATTTCATTACTTATTGTATATCTCTCTCTTTTTTCACGTTTAATGGTTTTTTTCTATAATCATCGGACACCCAATCATGGCATGCGTAAAAAAAAAGCTTTATTGTTCACAAAATGTGATATACTGTCTTCACGTTGTCCTAAAGGACACCTCAATTTTTCTTTTCCTCTTTAGCAAAAGCACTCTCACTCTGTCTCTCGTGATCTATTATAATCGCATGACATTTCATGGACATATTTAGGCAACTTTATTTCGCGATATTCTTGTCTAAATTCAGTTTAAAGATTTATCTTTTATTTAACTAGTAGAACATAATATAAAAAATAGTTTTAGAAAGTATTTTTTTAAAATAAATTCAAAATTAAATAAAAAAATATTCTTCAATGATAAACCATTTTTAACATAGATGTGTATATAGTTTGAAAATTTTGGAAAAAAATGTTTAAAATTAATTTTACAAACTCTTTTTGCTATTCCCTCCTAATTATAAGATTAAATAATGGATTTACTAGTCCTAAATACTTGTTTTACTTAATATATTTGATAAAATAAGAATTTGAAAACTTAATAATTAGTTTATGTTATATTATTTTGATAAATTAAATATTTATAGGTATAGAAATATAGAGTTGAAAATTGTGATAGTTAATTGAGCGTCAAATAATTTAAAATTTCAAAAAATGTAATTAATTAGAAAAATGTAAGGATAAATCGATAAATTAATATAAACAAAAAAATTAATTAACTTTTTAAAAATTTAATAAAATAACTTTAACTGATATATGAAAAATGGAGAGAGTAATACAGAAGAATTCAATAATATACTAATAGATTATTAACAGTGATTAATTATTGTTCATTAATAATGTTTAAATACAATGTTATTAACTTGGTCAAATTATTTAGAAAGAGTTTCCTCTATCATAAGTGATGATTATGCCAACTTCAAAAGCAACACTTAGCCCCACTTAATTGCAACTTTCACGTTTTAGTATAACTTTCCCGCCTCATAATTTGATGGGATTCTTGCACTTTAGGACAAATCTAATCCCGTATCTAAAGCGATTTGACATTTATTATTGTTTATTTATAGCTAAAGCGAAGATTAATTTTTTTTTAAATGTACGTAAAAGCTTAACTGAGAAATAATTATTTTAAATTAACTTATCATCTTAACTTTAAATCATAATAAATATAGTTGTATGATCTAAACTAAAAATATTAATTTTTAGCTTAAATGGTTTGATAATTCATGTTTATTTAAGGGTTTTAAAAAACACAATTATTACTGATTACTACGCTGTGTAGTCTAAACCAAAACTATAATATTTCTAACTTAAATAGTTACGTAATTCATCTTGATTTAATGGTTTCAAACACACAGTTATTACTAATTACTGTACAACAAATTACTTTTAAAAGCAATATCAATGTTTTAATACATTGGGTAGTACAAGACTTTCTTCAAGCGTCAAATAGAATTCCCATAATAAACATAATTAAGCTAAAGTACATGCACCCAAAAGAAAAAACAATGTTAAATAACCAAAAACTACATGAGTCGGCGACCTAAATATTAACTTCCACTCGTTCTAACTCAATAGAACATTTGTGGACTTTTTTTTTAATGTGAAACCAGGTCAAATCCATTGATTCATTAATATTTATTGGTGTAAGTGGCAAAGAAGTTTAATTTTTTAAAATTAAAAATTTGAATTAGATTTTGCCAATGAAAAAATTATTCATAGAGTTTTGCTCTCCTTATCCACTCATGTTTTGGAGTTTTACGTATGTAAAACAAAGATTGACTTTATTAAAGTCAATTCTTAAAATTCATTCGAAGTATATCAAAATAGTTAATTTACTTTTAAAAAAGTAATATTATATATTTATGTTTTTAAGTAATTTTTTATTTTAGATATTTAAAATTACTTTTAAGAAATAATTTTAACATTATTTTTTTTTACAAAAAGTACTTTAATTTATTAATTTCATATGACATGTACTTTAAAAAGAATGTAAGAAAATAAATAACGTAACTGTAATATTTCTATTTAAACCACAATTATCTTTTATAGCATTTAAAAGTAATTTTATTTAAGTTAAATAAAATTATTATGAATGAAAACACATTTCTTTCAATTATTTAAATAATTCTATTATGAGGTATTCCACAAATACTCATAATTTTTAAAGCAAATTTCATCAATAACTACTAATTGAACATTTTACTAAAAACAGAAGTCACAAAAGAAATATCATGAAACAAAATAAAGTAAAATTATATACAGTATTATGTATACTTTTAGTGTTATTTTTATTTAAAATTAAAAATTTGTTTCAATAAATATATATTGAAAATCTAACATTAAAAGTAACATTGGTGTGAAAATCTTATCTTACTTTAAAAAATAACACAAAAATAAATATAAATTGTAATACTAAACTTAAGCTTAGTTGATACACTAATTTAATGTTGCTTGAAATAAGAATATTTTGCATAAAATATTTCTAGTTCATGTTAAAATTCATTACTAGAATTCAAACCATACTTATATACTAGCAAAGTTATTTTTTCCAGTTATTTGTTGGACGAGTTTTTTAAAATATATATTTAGTAAAATTTGAGTGTGTCTTTCAACCTGTTTTCTACATTTTACTCATTGGTAATGAGTAAATGTCCCATTAAGAATAAAAACCTCAAAACTAAAATTAAAACATATAACTCCAAACGTTGAAAAAAGTATCGTTAAATAATAAAGGAGCGACGCGAATGCGGGTAATGTTTTCCCACCCCCGCCATCGTCCCCGCCGTAGGTATTCAACTGTTTATTTATGGTTCTTACTAAGAAATAAATATCTATGGATATTTAATAATTTAAAATGAAAATGGAAATTCAATAGAAAACAATTAAACTAAATTTAAATGTGGAATGCCAATTTTTTTAATGTAAAATATTTACAGAATTAAAATAATATCACAAATAACATAAATCAAATTATATTTTATAATAATTATTTTATATAAAAAGTTATAACAAATGATGCACATTTTATAAATTTCTGCACTATGGTATGGAGTATGGACTCATCCACTAAAAAACTGTAAAACAATTACAAAATTAAGGTTTTATCACATCGTAAATTTCAAAAACAATTCAAGTGTAAAATATTGTATTAACAATTAATTATGTTAATCATTATCTTAAGGACACTGATTAAAGAATAAATAAACAGATCTTTAATATTAAAAATCACACAAAAAATATGAAAACAAGGTCAACATAGTTTCACTTTTTATTCTTTTACTTTATCTCGTGTGTAATTTCAATTTCTCTAATTTTATTTATTCACATTAATATTTATAGTTTTTCGTTCAAATTAAATCTTTTACTCCAAAATTTCATCCAACAATTAACAAAATTTTAACAAAAATATAATATAATTAATTTACACAAATCTGAAAGGAAAAAATATATAAAATAATTATATTATATATGTTTTATTCATTATTATTATTTAGACATTTTATACATTTTTCTTACTAATTCATACAAATCAATATATCAAACTTCTAATATATTTTTTTAATTATTAAATGAAATTTTAGAATAAAAGACTTAACATGAACGATTTAAAAGTTAACCTAAATACAATTAATTTAAACTAAGAAAATGAAAATTACTCAAATTAAAATATAAGCCTAAAAAGTGTAATTAAACAAAAAATATATTATTATAATTTTCAAAAAAAAAAAGTCACTTTTAATTCCTTAACTGATACTTGATATTTTTACCCTTCCGCAGTATCACGGGTAATCTTTGCAGAGCTAGACCCAAGCTGAATTGTAAAAGCTGAACCGTTTATGGAATATAAAGCAATTGAATTACTTTCATTTTAAATAAAACTTATTGAAACCAAATTACATCTATCAAGGGGCTAACTTTTCTCCACTCGGAATTCGCAAAGGTCGCTGTATTAAACTTTTTTGTACCTATTTGCTGTAAAGTTCATACGGACCTTGTGTGATCAGTTCAAACTACGAGTACGTATTCGTAGCTCCATGAGCCATCACTTACCATTCACGAAAAGGTTTCTAATTCGGCTCAAGACTTGGGATTAAGTCAAAATGAACACTTTCAATCCATATTTAAAAATCCAATCCACGCTTGACTCTTGTGAAAGATTCTCAGATCCTTGCAGGGTTTGCTACCCGATGAGCTTCATTGCAGGAGTGAAGAACCAAACAATATTACTTCTATTTATCCGGAAGAAGGCAGGGAAAAAAACATCTATCCCGTTACGAGCATCACCTGCCCCGTGCATAACATTTATATAAAGCAAAACAGCAACTGGGAAAAAGCACAAGGCAAGAGATCATATTCATCTGGATAATGGAACCAGCGGGGGATTAGAAACAGTAGACTCCATCGGATTCAAAATGGAATTCCAAAATAACTATCAACTTTTCAGTTTTCTCAATATAAGCACATGAGTAACATGACCTCTATTCCTGAATATAAACTAAATTAGCCTCTAAAAATGTAAAACACAATCCGAATCAGATCTACACCTCAAATTTCAAAGGTGGGCACCAGAACTAACCAAAACACAGCCACCACCTGTAAGTGACCCCTAAATTTGAGAATTATAAGGAAACGAATCATAAAAAATTATTCTCTGAATTGAACTTATATATGTTACAAATGCTATGGATGGATTAAGCTACCTGCTAACTAATGCTGAGATGAGGACCAGGCACAATTGTAAAACCCAAGCATACAACACTCAAGAAGATTTATTCAATGTTATTCCACTAGGAAGGAACCTAATTCGGCTACAACGTTTTAATTTGGCCAGAGCTTCCTGTGGCTTAGCGAGCAAGAGATCCACATAAACTGCAGTAAGAGTGGCTTCTGGATTGTTAGGTAACACGGACAATGCCTGCGTAACCAATATTTTGGCTTTCTCAAATTCACCCTGCATTGCAGACATTGCTGCAAAATTTGCATAAATTGTTGCCCGCGCCTCCTCTGGCTTGAGGAAAACAATACTCTGAGTGCCTTCAAGAGAAGAATTCTTGGCAGCTGTGGATCCTCCATTCACATCTTCAAATTCGGCAGTCCTCTCTGGTTGCCATTTTTCACAGTCCTCCAGGCTGAAAGGCAATTCAACACTGTTTTCCCCAGACAAATAAAATGACAAGTGCTCAGCAGCTTCCTTTGGTCTGTTCAGCAAGCACAGAGCCTCAGCTGCATAAACATGGCCTAGAAAGATGTAAATTCTGGAACATTCTGGAACTTCTAAGAGGGATTTTGAAACTGACAGTGCCTTCATGGGATTGTCCAATTCAAGCTCTACATATGCTAAATTAGCAAGAACAGCTTGCTTAATCAATTGATTTTCTCTTTTTCGGACATTTTCATAATAGGAGAGGGAGTTCTGAATAAGTTCCTGACTAGTTCCTCCCTTTTGTTCTCTTGTGTCCCCATTTGCATTAATCTGACTTGAACCTATTGCTATTGAAAATGCCTTCGAATCAATGCCATGTAAATTTTTAAGATTTGAATTCTTTGAAGGCGACACTTCACCTGTATCAATTTCCTCCACAGAAGAATTGGAGGGCAAACCAGACCTCAAACAATTTGCATTTTTGGACTCCAGCAAGTGTAGGGCGTTCAAGAGGCACTGTCGAGCAAGGGACATTGATAACTTCACCCGTCCATCTTCACCAGGACAGCAATTATCCCCTTCATATGAGTCCACACGTACATTTCCTGTAATCTTATCTTCCACCACAAGTTGCCTCCATTTTCCCATCCCAACAACACAAACTCCTACCTCCAACTTCTCTGAAGGAATCTGACTTGATTTGATTAGGCCCTTTTCCAAAGCCATCAAACAGCATTCTGAGAGTCGGAGCCACAAGAGAGGTTGTTTATAGAAGACCAAACTTGCCTTCTGAAAACATCGGGCTGCAAGTGTTGGCTTCCCACAAGCCAAGTACTGCACACCACAATTATAAATTATAAGGAGAGAATTATCCTGCGAGAAAGTGGCTAGTTTTAATGATTGATCCTTCCGCAAGGATGAACAATTGGTTAGTGCCTTTGAGAAGAATAATGAAGACATCTGATATTTCCCAAGCTGATAATAAATGCACCCAAGGTTGTTGTTGAAAATGCTTGAAAATGCTGTGTCTGTCCGATTACTTGATGCCATCAATAGCTTTATGGCCTTGCGGTGATTACCACGAGCATATTCAAGTTGAGATTTCAAAAGAAGAGCCATTGATGAATCTCTTCCACGTGCGATGTTCATAGCCAGTTTGACCTCTCGTTTTGCTAGCTTCAGATTCCTAGTAAGAAGCAGAAATCTAACCTTGTAAAGTTGCAATTTAAGCTTTAAATCAACAGTAGAAAACCTGTCAACCAAAGCACTTGAAAGATCATTTGAAGATGGGCCCATTGGCCTGGCTAAATTCTGTCCACCCATATCCAAAATCATGGCTTCATAATCAAGAGTATCTTCAGATAAAGCTCTGGATAGATGATTTTCAGATGCAGTAGCACTTGACCCTAAATCAGAACTGGATGCATCAGCAGCCGATGCACTAATGGCAACAGGTGCAGACTTTGTAATTAGATTGATATATTGTTGTTGTGCTGTGTTCCCAATATCCCCTTGATTCACACTACTGACACCAAATGTTTTAAACACCTTGTTTTCCAGATGAGTCAACACATCCTACACAAACAGATTCCGGCTCAGAACAGTGCACTTGTACAATTAGACAGGCTAAAAAAACTGGAGACATTGAAAATTTTAAACCATTCACTCAACAACCTATTTATGATAGAGATATCCCAAATAGGAAGGTGAGATAATTTATGCCAAGAAAGTTTTGCATTATATTTTATCAGAGAAAACCATCAAAATCAAGTGAACTAAACCCCTCAAATTTTCAGTTTGACCAAGTTAATAGAGATAATGGAGTAGAGTTTTCAAAATAGAATCTCATTTTAGCTCCAAGCATAACCTCGTTGTGGAGATCAATAGTTAAAATACAACACCTTCTACACATTTCCTGCATATGATCTCACCCAAATTGACAGGATTTTATGTTAGGAACTGAAATGAGACGATCCAAATCCTAATAAATAATGTTATGGCAAATCTATAACCTGTAAATTTGTTTTGAATCTCTGATGACCAAGAATTACACATTAAGAGTGTGATTTATGCACAACAAAGAAATCATCCAAACAGCTACAAATGAAGGACTGAAACAGATTAATTGGACAAATCACCATTGTATACAGTCAGCTGCCATGCCCAACAATGGCTTGGGAAGAAAGATTTTAGTTATCACGAGAGAAATGAGAGGCTTATAGTTCAACTGATCAAGGTAAATAAAATTCAAATTAAAAAATAAATACAAATTATTTAAGAACGTTAATATTTACATATTCATTCATTCATTGAAAAATAACTAGCCATGCACAATTTTAAAAGTAAACAAAAAATACATTCATTAATCATAATATATGAATATCATGGTTAACAGCAATAAATTAAGCAACAAGACTTTCAATTGATAAAAAGTAAACCAACAATAAAATTATCAAATAGAACTTACAGCTGATTTTGATGCATCATGGCAAGCAAGGCTAGCATCAAGCAGCAGAAGGCAAATATGCAGAGCTGTTGTCTGATTTAGAAAAGAGAACACAAAATAAAGGGACAAAACAAAGCCATTAACACATCAGTGTAATTTTTAAAACAAAATAACATCAAATAATATATATCATACCTCATCTATGGGCTGAATATTTTGAAAGAGGGGTTCCAAAACTGACAATGTCTTTGCATAGTCATGAAGATGGAACCAAATAATGGCCTAGAAATTGAAATAACAAAAACATATCAACAAAGATAATAAAAATACAAATACAATCAAAGCAACAAGTGAGAGAAATAAATGAGATTAATATAAGTAAAATGTACATACAATATTTAGCATTGCCACAGAAGAGTCAAATTCAACTGTATACACGGTGCTATTTGCACCTGAAGACTGATTTGCTGAAGCATTACTTCCTTTGGATACCAAAACAACTTTATTTCCAACATTGTTAGCAGACTCTCCTTCTCCTTGTTCTCCAAAAGCCAGAGCAAGCTCATCATTTTTTCTCTGAATCAACTCCAGTAAAAAGGGATAAGTACAAAATTACAAACAAATAAAAATGAGAGCTTCAAGCTACAATTCAAATGATCCAAAACAGCACAAATCAATTTTAAAATTTAAAACCTTGAGCTTCAATGTGATCCCCACTTGACCACTTGTTAGGGGAAAAAATATGAGAGAAATGAGAACTTAACGCCTACATACTGAAAGCTTAAAAAGACTTCCTAATCTGCGTTGAATTTTATTATAGAGTTGGAGTATCCAATGAGGAAAACCTAGCCAACTCTTCTTCACCACCGTTTCCTAACTTGTAATATTATCATTGAGGCGGTGATGTGCGTGTACGATTTCCTCCTTTAAGAATATAATAAATAAGATACCTAGGAGAAAGAATTTAGGAAACGAAATTGTCATCAACTATAGTATATCAGGTCCAACAGGCAGTTAAAACTTATCTGCATCCTTAATCCAATAAGGGAAACCAAACACAGATAAAAATCATAAGAAATCATCAGAATCAAATATGGCAGCCTTCTACAATCTTAAACACATGTTCCACTGACTCAAGCCACTGCTAATTTAGCATTTTGATTGACCCCAAAATATATACACAAATCCGTATAAAGGCTCATAAATGAAATTTAAAGAGACCAAATAATGACCTAGGTTAATATCGTCATCATACTCTCAAGTGGTGTCAATATTATGCAATTCCAGTTTTCTAATCCATAAAGGTTAGAAAATGAAAATGAAAATGGTTTCCCTTAATGTGAACCATGAAAAGCAAAAACTACCACCTAATGCAAAGTGCAAACTGACACCCTGGACAAATTCAAAACAAAATGAAGTTTAAAATAGCATACCTTAATACCATTAATTACTTCAAGCAACTTTATAGGATCCAAACAACCACCTCGAAAGAATTCCGCAATCGCAATATTATGAAGGACCTGAAATATTAGGATTTAAAACCTTAAAAACTAAGATGTATAAAAGGATTGTCTCAGACATCAAAAAATAAACACAAAGATATGACAATTTAGTGCGCTTGTGAACTCATCAAAGCCATTGCCCTCCCTTGCTCATAACAGGTATACGGATGACATAGAATTTTATTGTACTATGGACATAACTGCTATCTCAAATGCATTTCACAAACTCAATCACAAATTGAATATTAGAATTTTTAATTGAATATTCATACAAGATACGTGATATGTAGAAAGCACAAACCCCATATCCATGCTTTATAAAACACACACATGCATAATGATGATAAAAGTCCAGTTTATTTCTTCCACAAAAATTAATTTCGCAGGTATACTTACTGCAATTTCCCTTCAATTATTTTAGTTTATTCATAATACAGCATACCTAATCAATTATGAGAACACACAATGGAATAAGTAAGGAGTGTAAATCAAGACCAAAACATATCTAATTCCATCAAAGAAAAAAGAACAAAGAGGGACAATTTACTAGGGAAAATATGCTTTGCACAAACTATGCAGTAGGTGCACACTGTGGACCATTCAATAAAAAGTCACACCAACAAAGATATTATCATAAGTTCATGCAAGTATCTTGTTACTCAATTCACGCATTAGCTTAGCGCACCGCAGGTGTGACCAGTAACTATCTTAGGCATAATTAGACCACAAACACGTTAACGACAGGAACCAAAGCTACAAAATAATTGAACAAATAAGAATTGTCCTTATTCAGAAAATGAGCTAAAAATCCCTCTAGTGATTCAAACTTTAAGATTCCCTCTTGTGATTCAAACTTTCCATCTTGGATCCACAGCAACTGTTTCTTCATACGTTTAATGTTCTTACTAGTTACTTACATCACGTAACGCACATGCATTTGTATAGGCATCCACTCAAAGACGCTCATAACACAACTTATACATCCCATTCACTTTCTACCCGAGGAAATCCATACAAACCAGTTCAACCGAAGCACATTTGCATCTATAGCGACAGATGCTACACTGCATCTGCAAGTGTTTACTAGCTAAAGTTCCACCAAGTCACCGAAATTGAAATTCACCTCTTAAAAAGTAAACAACCGAACAAACAGATCCATCACCCGCCGTATGGCAATTAGTATAAAAACCAGTACCGAGGAAAGAATCAAGAAAAATAAAAGAACGAAAGAACAATCGTCAATAAGGAACTAGAAGCATGGAGCGACAGAGATAAAACGGAAAACGACGTCGGTGAGATCAGTATCGATGGAAAATGGTGAAGCAAATTGATTACCTTGGGATCGCCTTGTTTCTTCTGCAAAAGCTGGTTCAAGACCTCGGCGCATTCAGCGAACTTGCCTGACTGGAAATGCAACGCAGCGTCTTTGGCGAGGGCGACGGTGACGGTGATGACGCCGTCGTTGCCGTCGTTGCCGGAAGAAGCATCCCGGCTGGTGGCTGACGACGGGGACGACGATGGTAAATCTCGAGCTTCCATGGTGAGATCGAGAAATCAGATTGCAAATCCTATTGTGAGAAGGGTTTTGGGGAAGAGATAAAGAGAGAGAAGAAAAGCCCTAAAATTGAGTGAAGAGACGCGAAGTGAAATGAATCTGAATTACATTAAAAGTCGAAGTTAAGAGAAATCTATGATTAACAACTTCGAAGAAAAAACCCTCGGAATTTTGTTTAGCTTGCTTTGATGGTATCTAATTTTGCAGAGAGACACGGAAAGAGTGCGAGAATGAAATGAAAACCTATTCGCCGAATCGGGAGAGGTTCAGATAGAAAGAGAGTGGGAGAAATTTATTTTTGTTCTTCATTTTTGTAACTCATAAATCGGTAATATTAAAAGACGGATGCTAGAACTATACCATCATGTCACTTTTTTTCTTACACCATTTTTATTTAATTAGTTAAAATTATTAAAAATATATAAATAAGACTCGTGTAACTAAAAAATTTAAAATTTATCATCAATTTTTATTATTAATAAAAAATATATTTAAAATAATATCTTACTCACTTTTTTTGGCACGAATAAGGCCATAGGGTCATGGTAGCAATTTTTTTCTTTAAATAAAAGAAAAACATTAATAACATATTTTTATAACATATTTTTAAATATTAACTAAAATTTATTAAAAATATAAGAATAATATTAATTTAAAAATATAAAAAAACTAAAATTTAGATTATTTTTATAAATTTTTTTATAAATTTTAATTGATAGTTAAAAGTGTATTAGCGATTGTATTGTTAGTATTTTTTTCAAACAAAATAAACTTTATCAAATTCTTTTAAAATATCTCGAATGATACTCCATAATAACTAAAATAAGATGAGAACGATAGGTTTTGTATAAAAAATAATTTTATTAAGAATTTTAATAAATTTAACTTATAGAGTGCATTTGGATTAGATGTTTTAAATGAATGAATTATTTTTTAAAAGAATTTACATATTTATAAGTTAAAATTATAAAAATTTTAGTAATAATTTTTAATAAAATAAAATCAAATAATTATAAACTTTAACAAGTGAAAATTTGATATTATTTATTTATTATGTGTTTCATTCATATTTTTATTTAGTTGTAATTAATTTAATAATTTAATTTTTATATATTTATTTTTTAAAATATAATATAAATTTAAAATTTTGAAAAGTTTAAATAATTTAATAAATCTATCTAAATAAATATTTGCAATGAAAAAAATCAATTATTTAATTTAATTTTTTTAAATAAAAAAATTAAATAATATAATTTAAATTTTTAAATATTCTAAAATTTCAATTTCTTTATAAAAAAAATAACCTTACACACTTTGTTTGGATGGGCAAAAGTAAGAGGGACGGAGAAAAATATTGAATTTAAAACTTATCTTGCTTGGCTGCATGGAAGGAGAGGAGAGAAGTTTTTTTGAGGTCCCACCATAAAAAAATATCCCTCAAAATCCGAAGAAATGGGCATGGGAACAAGAGAAAGCGTACTTGATTTTTTTTTTCTTATCAAAATATTAAAGTGATATAAAAAATTAAAAAGTTATTAAGAATAAATATTACAATAAAAATAATTTTCTATTAATTTTAAAATTTTATACAAAATTTTAATATAACTTTTTTTTTCAGCCTCTTTTACCTATCTAAATAAGTAAAATAAATTTTTTATCATTTATTTCTCTTTTATTTTAATTTATTAAACATCGGATATTTTTTACTCTGCTTTTACTTTATATTTTATAAATACTTTATTATTGATACAGTTGTAAGGGAAAAGGGGCATTTTAAACAAAAATTATTTTAAAAAGTGATAGTATATATATAAGCTTAATTTGGATAAAATTTTCAATGAATATTTATAGAAATAAAAATTTAAGTAATAAAATAATTAAACTTAAAAAAACATGTTATTTTTAATTTACAATAAAAAATATTATTTATTTGTTTATATATATTATTTTTCATCTTTCGTGATTACTTGTCTATGAGCTTAACTAAATTTGGTCATATTTGTCACAATATCTCAATAAGCCTATTCACGGTGAAAAATAATAATTTTGTAAACAAATAATTCAAAAGCAATCTGTGAAATGGATTAGGTTCTCTTTGAGTTCTTTTAAGTGTGTTGATAACGTAACAGTAAAATTGACGTCGCAAATTACATAATTTAACAAGAATAGTGAATATGAAACGTATAAAACTGAATCACAACGTAGAAGTTTTTTTACAAAAATGTGCTAAATAGAAAGCAAATTGCAAAAAAAGGAACAAAAAACAAACAAAGAAGCTAGAAATAGATTACAGAAAGATAAATGTGCAGGAGTGTAAAGGTGCATGAATGTAAGCGTACGACTCTTCACAACAGCGGATAGCGGTCACCGTGAGTCTCCTGGTAGCTAGTGTTTAGTGTGGTGCAAGGTTTCAGTGTGCAAAGAATTTTAGGTGCGATGTCAATGTGCAAAAAGTTGTCATCTGTAAAATGGTGCTTTGGAGTATTTATAGGCAAGAAAATCACTGTCGTTCTTCTCCTTTTGCGGACACCTCTTAATAACTACTTTTAACTGTTGATGTCCATTATCCACGATTGTTTGTAATCGTGTTGTTGGTTGGGGTTTCTTTCGTAACCGCTATCGCCCACGATCTCCTTTGCGTAGTGGTGAATGTTAATGACTGCTGGTAACCGTTTTTGGATTTTGCAATGACTTGACCTATCAAGACTTTTTGTTTTTTCTATCTTTCGAGTGTTTCTGGAAGAAATTTAGGAGGCTCATTTAGTGTTATGGCCTTAGAATAATTTCTCCTTAACTTCTCTTTTCGACTAATTCTGGGATTTTGAGAGCTTGTCTAGGTCTTGTGGACTTAATATTTTCTTTACTCATTTCTGTTTTTGGAGCAATTCTGAAGTTTTGAGAACTTGTCTTGGTCTTGTGAACTTATAATATTTTCTTTGCTCATTTCTATTTTTTGAACAATTCTGGAGGAACTTTGGAGCTCAACTAGACTGATAGACTTATAATATTTTTCTGACCATTTCCTGTTTTTCGAGTAGTTTTAAGTGTTAAGGACTTAGAAACTCCTCGAAAAGGCCATCAGTTTTGTGGACTTGGAATATTTTCTGACCACTTCCTGCTTTTCGAACAGTTTTGGATGTCAGAGACTTGGAAACTCCTCGAAAAGGCCATCAGTTTTGTGGACTTAAAATATTTTCTTATCAGTCCTGTTTTTTGAGTAGTTTTAGGTGTCAGTGACTTGAAAACTCTTAAAAACTTCTCAAAAAAGCCTTCAATTTTGTGGACTTATAATATTTTTTTTCAGTCCTATTTTTAAGCAATTTTAGAGAAAAATTAACAAGGTGACAAAAACTTTTGAAATAGCTTGAAATGTATTTTTTTGATATGAAACAAAAAGATCTTAGATAACTTTATAATACTACTCAAATTTAGACATATTTTTAGATTCCTTCCGAATTTTTAACATTTTTGTCAAAATGTAGCTTTTTTTAACATGATTTTTAACTTAGAAAATTTTCCTTATCCCAAATAAAGTCCAACACGAAATTCTCAATCTTATTATGTGACTTATTATTATTGTTGTTTATGTTTTGTTGTGCATGACTCAATCCCATGCAATATTAAAAAACTGATAGTTATGTGATATTTTTTTTTCTAGAGTTTAATCAGCACTCCTTCCATTTCTATGATTTGTTGTTTCAACTTTTTAATTTTTGTTTAAAAACACTTGAGATCACCCTCTTCTGTTTTTTCCATTCCACTAAATTTCATGATTTACATCTCCCTTCATTTCCCAGTATTTTGTATAATGGGTTCAAAAGACTTAAACCTCGTGACATGTGCTAAGTATGGTTTCCAAAATTCACTTTTATATATTTTTTTATGGTACTTCTGCATAAACGAAAGACTTGCTTTCAAAACTTAACCGCGTATCTTTAACTTCTCATTTTTATTTTCCTCCATTTTTTAGCTATGATCGTGTTATCTGCCAAAAAAAATATAACGTGACATCAACTCTTAAATATGCGTGAGCACATTATATAAACTATTTTATTTAATTTTTTGCACAATTGCATTTTTCCATAGCTTCGTGGTACAGGTCTCGAGCTTAATCTTCCTATATTTCATGCAATATTATTTGTTATTGTAAGTGAAAATTAAAGTGCTTCTCATACATTAATCTAGCATAGTATTAGACTTTGTTTGAGAGTATGGAGGAGAAAGAAAAAAAAGAATTTAAAGGGAGAAGGAGGGAAAGGAAAAGGAGAGTAAAAAAGGTAATTTTTTTTTTGTTTAGATATTTAATATTAAAAAGGGAGGCTGATAGAAGAAATTTAATTATATAAATAATTTTAAAATTAATATTTTAAAATTTTTAAAAAAATCATCACTTGAAAAATTAATATTTTTTTAAAAAAGTTAAAAAAATTATATTTGTGAAATACTCATTTCAATTTTTTTATAAGAAATAAAAGATTAAATCACCATGACTAAGAAAAGTAAATAAATTTTTATGTTTTTCATGAAAATGTATTTTATTCCAAAAATACCTATAATATTAAGTAGTGTAATTAATAATTTATATATTTAATAATACTAATAAAAGAAGTTATAAAAATAATTTAGTAATTAATGCACTTTAAATTTATCATTTATTTTTTATAATAAGAACTAAGAAAATATTTTATTTTATTTTTATAAAAATAACAAAAAGAAGTAATATGAAAGAATGAGAGAAAAAAAACTTCTATAATTCAAAAAAATAAACTTTTAAAGAGTTTTAAAAATTTGAAGTTTTTAGAAAAATTTTCAAAACCATCTATGCCTAGTTAAACAATTTTTAAATAAGATTAAATTCTTTCTAATCTCTCCCAACTCCTCTTACCTAGCCTTAGATTCTTATAACATTACAATATAAGGTTAATGGTGCTCATGCGTTATTAGTTTCGAAGGTAGAAGAAGGCTTAACATGATGACAAGGAGTCGTAGAAGTCAAACAAGGTAGAGAGGGTGGTCTCATGGTAGAGGTCGTTTTCCAACTCAACAACTAGAGAGTCCATCATTTCTAGATCAAAGACCAACCAAGATAACGTTGTTACACTTCATAATTTGAGGTACTCTCTGGTCATAAAATCTTACCCCTTTGAAGGTGAAGAAAAAGAAAAATAAAAGATGTGAAACGGTGTTTAAACTAAAAAGATAAAAGTGAAGAATAAACGAACAACAATTTTTTTAAGTGAAATTATATTAACACTGGGCTGTTTTTTATAAACATTTTTAATTCCATTAAAATTTAATATTTATTATTAGATATATAGGAAAAGTTTTAATAAAAATATATTGTATTTAATATAGTAGATGAGGATATAAAAGTAAAACTGACATAATATTCAGCGCATATCCAGTAAAAGGTTATTTTCAATGTATTTTTTTAAAAAAATCTGAAAATTGATTAAAAAAATGAATAGATTCTAAAACACTTTCTCAGTTTCTCCAGACCATTTTTTATTTTTCAGTAGGACCTTATTTTCGAAATAAATAAAAAGCTAAAGATAAAAGCACAAAACCAGGGTTTTGGCGCGAAAGATTAATCGAGGTGTCTTTCACCGGCGACGAAGCAATGTGAAGGGTTTTATCGTTCATAACTCTTTGCAAGAAAAGATGTCAGAAGAAATCCACGAAATCCATATTCTGATTTCTTCAGATGACAAGTTGAACAAGTGTTCGGGATACTCAAACCTCTTGCAATTTCAACAACATTCTTGTCTTCAACCCTCTTCGGTTCAATCCCTCGCTCACTCCTCCAAATCCATTATCTCTTTCATCCTTTCCGACATTTCCGATGACCACGACGAAGAAATGTGAGCATCGATCTTCACTCTCTCACGATTTTCACTTTTTTTCCCTGTAGAATTAGAATGTTCATTAATTTATTTAACTGCGTGTTAGAGTTGCACAAGCTTTGAAATGTTTGGGCTTCATGCTTTATCATCCCTCCGTTGTTTCCACGCTTCAAGGTATCTATCTGGTCTTGCCCCTGTATTCGACTTTGATTTTATGTTAAGCTGATTTTCTCTTGGTTTTGCAGTGGATGATGCTAATTTGGTATTGGGCACATTGGCCAAACTTATTACGACCACAAAATTGAAGGCTAGTGATGTTCTATTTACTCTCGATAAGTGTTTTTATTTGTTCTGGATAGTTTTTTTTTAGGTTGCATGTGCTATATTTACATTAACTTCCTTAATTTTTGTTGCAGTCTGCTTGTAATTTAGGGGTATGGTGTTTATCTGTTCAACAGTTAGGTTCATCATTTCTTGTTTCTCACTTTCATTCTTTATTACGGGTAATTGTCCACGCCCTAGATAATCCTATGGGTTCTCTGTCAACAACATTTGAAGCTACGCAGGTACAGTTCCCTTCCCTTAGAAACTTCGAAAGTGATTGCAAAAATTAAAGGAGCTTCATTCTTCTAGCCATTTTTTGGAAATGTTTCAGAGATTAGCTAATTGCCTCTTCGTTTTTAATTAATAGAATGTACTCGCTTACCAAGTTGACTAGATATATTTTTAAATACTAATACAGAGAAGATCAAGATCATTATTTTTGTAAGTCAGTATCACTGAACATATGTTTTCTCAGTTGTCACCATAACCTTGAAAGATATTAACAATGATAATGTTATACTAGCATCTCGTTCATTTTTAACTATATTGGTCGGACTCCTTGCGTATGTTTTCTTGGAATTCATCAATCTCTAGGCGTATAAATTTATTTTGATACTCATCTTATAACCTTTGGATGACAGGCTGTAATGAACTTGTGTGGTCAATTAAGCAAGCAAATGAGAGACTCGTCCCATATATGGGCTCCTCCAATATACAGGAGACTTCTCAACACAGATAAGAGGGAGAGGGATGCTTCAGAAAGGTGCCTGTTGAAGATTATTTCTACAGTAATTCCTCCTTCTCTGGATCTCTCCAAGGTACCAAGACCTTATGTGGATGTTCAATACAAAGAGATGACTCTGTTCTCTAGTGGCATTACATGATTTTATTATTATTTTAGCTGTAAGGCTATTGTTGTTACGTGCTTGTACAAATTATTCAAATTACAATAATTTGTCAAGGCAAGTTTGTAATGTTATGGGTATTTGTAATCCCTGCTACGTAAATTTTTTCTTGGTGGTGGACAGTTATCTAAATTAATTTTTTTGTGGCATAATAATTGGAGAACAAACCAAAGATGTATCATGTCCGTGGCATGTCCTATTTGATATGTAAGGTTCATGTAGCGATTTAGACACATGCTTATTGGTCTCATTGTCGTCATAGTTTTTTATTTTTCAATAGGTTCTCGTCAAAGATATGAAGATAAAGTTACTCAATGGGATGAAGGATTTGCTAGATAATGGTATGAAGATTCAAGCTATTCGAGCATGGGGATGGTTTGTCAGAATGCTTGGATCCCATGCTTTAAAGAATAGGCCTTCAGTTAATGATATGCTGAAAATTCCTGAGCGTACATTTACAGATCTTGACCCTCAAGTTCAAATTGCTACACTGGTACTATCTATGAGCAACTGCTTTATCTCATCCATGATTCACAAAGATAAGTTATGTCTGGGATGTAAAGCTTCTCAATATTTTAAGTGACATGGCGCACAGTGGCTTAAAGAAATTTGTTTGACATTTAAATACGTGCACAGGGCACTCACTAGTTGTTAACACCATTTACTCATTGCTACTTTTGTGACTTATTACTGTCATATGTGCAGGTTGCCTGGGAAGGTCTTGTTGATGCCCTTGTTCACTGTCCGATATTAGTTTCTGAGAAAAATACACGAGCTGTGGAGATTTCTCTCCAGAAACAACATTCATTAGGAAGGAACAATTGTGGCAATCAAGCAAATGGATTTTCCAAAAGCATAAAGCTCATAATGACTCCACTGATTGGTATCATGTCCAGTAAATGTGATACATCAGTTCACTTATCCTGCTTGAACACGTGGTGTTATTTGCTACATAAGCTTGATACCTCTATCAATGAACCGTCAATGACACAAATGGTTTTAGAGCCTATACTTAAAGCAATATTTCAGAATGGACCTGATAGCAAGAGCATCTGGTTATGGAACCTTGGCCTTGATCTGCTTCGTGATAGTATTTCACCGAAGTGTAGGGATGTCCTCTACCAATCAACTAGTCTGGTAAGCCACATAATCTCTGAAAATGGACCTTTATCTGGCAAATGTTCTTGGAAGCAACATGAAATTAGATGGATGCCGTGGGATATCAGTCAATTGGACTTCTATCTGAGTATGATCTTTTATGTCATCTGTCAGACATCTAGGCCAACTGTCACTTGTGATCATAGAAGTCATGTTTATGATACTGCCTTAAAGTTATTTATATATATTCTGAAAGGAGTCAAGCTGGACATGGAAAGTCCATCTACTAAATATGATGGAATTATGCAGTGCTTGAACTCATTACTAACATTCGTCAAGAAAGTATGTGAAGATTTATATTCAGATGTCTGTGAAAATGCTGAAGTGTATTGTACTTCCATTCAGTTTATAGATGCCATCACAAAGGAGTTAGGTCCTTCCATCTTGGGATCTCCTCTGTACAAGTTTCCTTTAGACCTAAAGCACATTGATGAAATGCAATCAATTGATCATGATAAACATCTAAAATTTCCGACTGTCAGTTGTATTTCTTATATGGATAAGGTTTCTCCATTGATTTATTTGATAGCTCTGTACTTCCAAATGATGGCTAAGTTAACAACAAAATCCCTTCACTCAGACTGCATTTCACAAAGGATGTGTGAATATTTTAAATTTATATTTTCTTCAAGTGATCCCCTGAAAAATCTGCTCACCTGTATTGGCTTCTTGTACAGACACGTACAACCTATTTACTTAAATATATGGATAACGGTAACTCAAGGTCTGGATTACTGTGTGTCTGATGCAAACTGCAAGTCTCTTCAGGAAGCCTTGTCTGATAGGACTGTGTTTTCTTCCATATGCCATCTTTTAATTTACCCCATTGTTGCACATTCCGAAGTTCCAAAATTTACCTTGTCAAATGCTACTGCCTCTTTCGAGAAAATTTCTGCGTCACCTGAAAGAAACCCGAGGTTTGAACTGGTTATTCAAATGTGGAAATCACTTTACGGATCTCTTAGTGCTTCAGGCTTTGGATGTTCAGCAGCCACCAATTTATCTGGGGATCTGTGCATGTTGTTAATCAGGTGCCTTGATGAAAATGCTGGCATGGTTGAGAGGGGCACTGATTTTGAGTTAACATGCAAAGATATGGATATTAGCCTCCTTCATTTATCTGGCAATTTCTTGATATGCATTCTAGAACAGATTTGGACTTCTGAAGGAGTTTCTGAAACAGACAGAAGTAAATCTGGTCGTGATAGCAAAATATTATGCAATAAAACTATAAAGAACTGCTTGAAATTTGTTGTCAAGTAAGTTTGACATGTATTGTAAGTATAGAATATGCCTCTTCAGTTGTTTATTTAATACCTGATCTCTCTGTCTTTTTTCTCTGACTGTGTGGGTATCTGTTTCATATCCTTGGATAAAATAAAACTGAATGGCAGGAGAGATGCCTCTTCATCATGGATAAAGGGTTTGAATAGCCTGATAACAATGAAATTTCTCTCATCCTGTGTCAAGTTGGAGATGTAAAAAAGCAATGCCATTGACATTTCAAGATGCTTTTCTATTCTTTTGTGTTATAGCTTTATAAATTGTCAGTATCTATTATATTTTCTATGGTTAAGCTATTGAAATATTGAGATTATGATCACAACTTATTCAAGTATATGACTGCCTGATATGTGTTTTGCTGTTGTACTTAGTCACTATGAGTATCATTTTGATTATAATACGACCTTTTTGAGTATCACCTAAAGTACTCTAATAGCTGCTATGGGTATATCAATCATTTACAAAGCAAAGGGACGCATATATTTAGTTGCTACTGATCACTTTTTGTGCGGCATTTCTCAGGTATATGAATTTGTTGAGGATAAAGATGGTTAGAGACCCACTCCCTGGTTTTGTTGGGACTTCAAGGTCAGTCAATATAAGCTGTCTCTTCCTGCAATGCATGCTGGATCAGTTGGTTGGTCAATAAGTAACTCTGTTTGACTCTAACTTTATCCTAAATAACAGGCTATATTCTGCACTGGCATGCTTTATTAGTTGCCTTTACTGGAAGCAAGATATTCTTCTTTTATTGGAGGTTTGTTTCCCCATTCCTACTTCACAGTTCATTAAAGTAGCCTCTACGAATCATTTATACTTATATGCTGGAACTTGGAATTTGCAAAGGTGAAGGAGCACTTCACTGCTTCTTCTAATTAGTCCCTGGTAGAGGACTCAATTATGAATTGGCTAGAAAAACAGGAGATACCAATGAGGATCATATATTAGGCAGTACGTACTCCACAACAATGTTTTTGTCAATTTTAAAGAATAAAAGAGTCTTCTTGTCACTTTCTTTTGGCCTTTTCATCCAAGTGAGACTGTACAAAATGATATATTAGACTTCCTCCATTGCATTTATTTATTGGTTTCGGGGGGGGGGGGGGGAGGATGGATTTAATTTGCAGAGAACCTCCTTTACTTGAATTTTTTCATTACGTTAAACGAGTGTGTAATCATCCATATACTTGATTGCAGATTGTTTCCTGTCCACTGCTTCAGTGGTTCTCAAATATGGGAATGCAGCATGAAAGAACAGACGACAAACTCCAACTTTTGTGGATTGAAATTCTTAGCTGCTTAAGAAGAAGTCAACCTCCAATAAACTTTGGTTCAGCTTTACTCAAACTTCATGGACCTTTGTTTGAAAAAACTCTTGATCACCCATGTCCTTCCATTTCAGAACCTACCATCAACTTTTGGAATTCTACATTTGGTCAACAAATTATTTTGGATTTCCCTTCGAGTCTGCTGTGTGTCCTGGACAAGCTATCTAGAAATGGAAGATTAAAACTCCAGATGAGAAGCCTACCACCTCTTCAAAAATGTCATTCTCATGATGAAGTCACAGATGCTCTGCAGGGATACAGGGTCTCTGCAAAACATAACAGGACTTCTAAGAGGGTGGAACTGGTGTTGGATGCCCAAAGAGAGGTGTCTCCTTTATGTTTCAAAAAGAAGAGGTTAGAACTTACCGAGCATCAGAAGGAAGTCCGGCGAGCACAACAAGGAAGGGAAAGTGATACTGGAGGACATGGCCCGGGAATCAGAACTTACACTAATGCGGACTTTTCACAAGGGCTTGGTGATTCGCAAGAAAGCCAGGAAGAGATACGAGATTCTGAAGCTATATTGCAGATGTTGATGAAAACTATTTGACTCGCTTTTAGTGCTGTTATTAATGGTACTACATTTGTTAATAGCAAAAGATTAGCACAAGTCAGTTTATAGTTAATCTAGTTGGTGTTTGGCCCCCAATTCATAGTATTGATCTATATGACAGAAAGGAGCTTTTTCACCTGTAGCTAACTTGTATCGTAATTGTAATTATAAATACATAGACTAACGTAATTACTTAATGCCCGTTGACATGTCTGTCTCCTTAGTGGCTGTCCACCGATGAGTTGCCATCATTTTCAAGGTTGCCTTAAACGAGTAGTAAATTGGAGGAGCGGTGTAAAATCACCAATCCATATTTTTGATAATCCCTGGATTCTAGACTCATCCACAATTCCACACGCATCATTTTCAAAGCTAATCAAGTCTTAAGTGAACAGTTTGGAGCACGGTACGAAAAAATCACCAATCCATGTTCCGTCCACAATCAGGGCTCTAGACTCATTCAAATTCGCACATTTTCTTCCTTTTTGTAGTCTTGCTGCCATGCTTCTACGCTTTTCAGTATATGACAATTTATTGCTAAAATCATAAATAAGAGGAATTTAATTTAAGGTAATTTATTTATACCTTTTTAAGAAAGTTAACTTTATTTTACGAAAATTTAATGAATTTAATCTTCAATCTTCTTACTTCCTCTCCTTTGTAAAGTTTATTATGAATCTCTTCTTGAAAAAATAAAATAAAAATACACAAGCATCGTAATCTAATCCCAGCGCCAAAGTCAAGTCTAGGTCCGAAAGAGCGAAGCATGTGATTTCTGGAAACTTTTTATTTCAATGATAGAAACATATTTCCCAAGGCACGCGACTTCTTATGGATAACTTAGCCATCATTTGATCAATTATCACGATTTATAAAATATAATATTTATAGTGTTTGAATAGTACTTTTTATTTTCATGCTATTCATAAGCCGGACCTCGCTGGCTGCCAGTGACGAATGGTTTATTTATGTCAGCGTCTTGATGGATCGAGATCTCCCCTGTTTTGGTGCGAACATGATTTTCATGTCGTGTATTTTTACATTTTCACTTAAGCTATGATATATAGATTCAAATTCTCTTATTTTTTGGTACTAACATAATTTTTATGTTACTGTATTTTTGTTTAAACAAATTTTTTTTCATTTAAACAAAAATATAAAAGTACAAAATATAAGGATCATGCAACAGAAAAGGATTTATATGCATTTTATATTCCATTGCACGGATTTTATACGTAATTTTTTTTGAATTAGATATCGTTAAAAACTATGAAGAGTTTATGATAATAATTTTATATTTTTCAGTTTATTTTAATAAATTATTGAATATAACATTAAAAAATTATTTTAAAAGATATTATTATTATATGTACGGTATATATTATTGTGTAAAAAAATATCAAATAAGTATTTTTTTTGTAAATAAATAAGCATTTAATTATGATTTTGTAATTGCACCCTTATTCACTATTAAACATGTGAATCAAACTTATGTTAAATTGTTTCAACTTAAGACTGCATCCTTAGGTTATGTATGATATTTTAAAATTATTATAGTTCATGTATTTAGAAAGTAAAAAAGAATTAAAATATTACATAATTTTAATGAGATAATTTTTATGTTAAATAAATAAATTTTAAATGACTTGATTTTAGAAAAAAAATTAAAAATTTATTTATTATGCAATTTTTTTGTATTTTAATTATTATTTTATTTTTGAAATTCTTGCTGATTTATGTTAAAAAGTTACTAAAAAATATTAAAAAATTTAAACAATGACAGAATAATTATTTTGTGTGCGGCCGGTGCAGAGTGTTTGGACGTTACATTTTGTTTTTGTGCTATCTTGTTGCTAGTGACGAGGGATACATATGTGTGTGTATAAGTTGCAAAAAATTATTTAAAATGTAAACAATGACACTAACGATATTGTGTGCGGCCTGTGTACAGATTTTGAAGCTAATTTTTGATATGGCAGAGAACAGGGAATGAATACATTGCATCTCACATTAAATCGGATTGCTGAGGCAGAAATATCTGCAGATTGCTTGAACATACTTTGATCATCAGGACTGAAAATCTTATCCTTTCTGGAGGATGACCCGACATGCGTGAATCATTGATTTCAATAATTGAGCTAAATATATTCATAACCAGATTGAAAACCCCCACTTCTAACAGCAAATGATAATTAAAATTAATAGAATCCATGTGCCACGTCCCTAAAAGAGGACCACTCAGTCTCGAAGTGTACCCGTATTCAGTATCCACCCACAATCCAGTTGGCCAAGTGGATGGATGGACCACCCCAGTCTTCTCCTGTCATTCCCAAGATATTTCCTAATTGTGTTCTGCCAAAACACGCTAGCTAGCTCCAACTCACTTCGCTAAACCCTCAAAATACCCTTTCTATACCAATATTAATATCTCATTTCAGCGGCATTCGTGGCATCCCCTAATTAATAATTATAGTCAATGGGCCCAATCCCCAATTATTACTCCCAAATTTCAACGAGCCTGGGAATTATTTGGGAACTTATGTATAAATTAAACTTCATTAGCTTGATTACCACGACAAGACAATCCGATCCTAACAATGCGTATACATACTGATTACTTAACCCACACATTAACACTAGCATCCCAAGCCAAAGTAACGCGGTTGTGTATTTGAGCTTCGCAAGCCTATACTTAATACTCTACGGTTCTACTTCTACGTAAGCAACAGAGAAAGACCTAAAAACAAAAACACTTTTTTTTTTTGGTAAAGTGCACAGGTGTCCAAAACGCCGAATCTGATAGAAGGTCCGTGAAACGACGTGTGGTAACACGTTTTGCATAGGGGATTTATTTTCTCATGTTGTAAAGTGGGTGGGGGCAAGAAAGTGGAATTGCATGGGCGTGGATCCGACGTGGAGACCCCATCCAACGTCAAAAGAAGAAGGGGTTGAAGCAGCAACAAATATTTAATAAATCGTAAACAGACAATGGCGTTTGTTGTTTTGACAAGAAAGGGAAGAGGCCTAAGGAGGAACATGTTAACCAATCTATGCTATTCCTCTCCTTCATCTCTTCCTATAAATACCAAACCCCTATTTCTTACCCCACCCTCACACACTTTCCATTCAACAACAATATTATCCAATAGGAACCACCTCTCAATTTCTGGTACACATTCATCATCTTATATTATCCATCTTTTCTTGTCGTTACTTTATTTCGCTGACGGCAATCCGTTCTTTTTATGCATGTTTTCGAATCTGTAGACATTTTTCGAATCGAGCGTTTCCGCCGCTCTCATTCAAGGTAACAATAAACATAAATACCTGAATCCGATTTCATTTTCAAAATAGGATTTGGTTTGATTTCACTAACCGCAGAGAAGGAGCGTAGAGGCAGAAGAAATGACGATAAAACCTGCGGTTCGGGTTTCGGAGGGGAAACTTGTGGTGAAGGATCGGACGATTCTGACAGGGATACCGGAGAACGTGGTGGAGACGTCGGCGACAGCTAGTGGGCCGGTGGAGGGAGTGTTTCTGGGAGCGGCGCTGGAGAAGGAAGATAGCAGACACGTGGTTTCCTTGGGAACTTTAAGAGAGGTGCGATTCATGGCGTGCTTCCGATTCAAGCTGTGGTGGATGGCCCAGAAGATGGGAGATAGAGGTAGGGACATTCCTTTGGAAACGCAATTCTTATTGGTTGAAACCAAAGATGGGTCCCACCTTGACACTTCCAACAACCAGATCGTGTATACCGTTTTTCTCCCTCTCGTCGAAGGCTCCTTCAGAGCCTGCCTTCAGGGGAACACCGACGATCACCTTCAGCTCTGCCTCGAGAGCGGCGACGCTGACACCAAAGCCTCCTCGTTCACTCACTCACTCTTCATCAGCGCCGGCACCGATCCCTTCGCCACCATCCACCACGCCTTCCTCGCCGTCAGGAATCACCTCAACACCTTCCGGTTGCGCCACGAGAAGAAACTTCCCGGCATCGTGGATTTCTTCGGGTGGTGCACGTGGGACGCGTTCTACCAGGAGGTCACTCAGGAAGGAGTGGAGGCCGGAATCAACTCCCTCGCCGGCGGCAGAACGCCGCCCAAATTCGTCATCATCGACGACGGTTGGCAGTCCGTGGGCAAAGACGACAAAGAAAACTCAGATTCAAACTCAAACTCGAATTCGTTGATGAGGCTGACGGGGATAAAAGAGAACGCGAAATTTCAAAGCAAGGAGGAACCACAATTGGGGATAAAGAGCGTGGTGGACACGGCGAAGCAGAAGCACGGGGTCAAGTACGTGTACGTGTGGCACGCCATCACAGGTTACTGGGGCGGAGTTCGACCCGGTGTGAAGGAAATGGAGGAATACGGTTCGGTTATGAAGTACCCAAGTGTATCGAGGGGAGTGGTGGAGAACGAGCCCACGTGGAAAAGCGATGCCATGGCGGTTGAGGGCTTGGGCCTCGTGAATCCCAAAAAGGTATTCACCTTCTACGACCAGTTGCACAGTTATTTGGCGTCGGCGGGCGTAGACGGCGTTAAGGTGGACGTGCAGTGCATATTGGAGACTCTTGGGGCGGGCCTAGGTGGGAGGGTGGAACTCACGCGACAGTACCATCACGCCCTCGACGCCTCCATTTCTAGAAACTTCCCCGACAACGGCTGCATCGCCTGCATGAGCCACAATACGGATGCGCTCTACTGTTCCAAGCAAACGGCCGTCGTTAGGGCTTCTGATGACTTTTACCCGCGCGATCCCGTGTCTCACACCATCCACATTGCCTCTGTGGCGTACAATAGCATCTTCCTTGGGGAGATCATGCTTCCGGATTGGGACATGTTCCACTCGCTTCACCCCGCCGCGGAGTACCACGCTTCTGCTAGGGCCATCAGCGGTGGGCCCCTCTACGTCAGCGACGCTCCCGGGAAGCACGACTTTCAAGTACTCAAGAAGATGGTGTTACCGGATGGGTCCGTGCTGCGGGCCCGTTTGCCTGGGAGGCCCACCAAGGACTGCTTGTTCACGGACCCGGCCCGCGACGGTGTGAGCCTACTGAAGATATGGAATATGAACAGGTACGGTGGAGTCCTGGGAGTGTATAACTGCCAGGGTGCCGCGTGGAGCGCCACCGAGAGGAAGAACGCGTTTCACCAAACGGATTCGGCTCCCATCACGGGGTACGTGAGGGGCCAAGATGTCCACCTCATCTCGGAGGCCGTCGTGGATGACGGCGGTTGGAACGGTGACTGCGCCCTCTACGGCCACCACTCCGCCCAGTTGGTGGTTCTTCCCCACAATGCGGCTCTGCCCGTGTCCCTCAAGGTGCTGGAGCACGAGGTTTTCGCGGTTGCGCCCGTCAGGGTTCTGGCTCCTGGATACGGGTTTGCTCCTCTCGGGCTTGTGAACATGTTCAATGCCGGTGGGGCCATGGAGGGGTTGGTGTACGAGGTGAACGAAAAGGATGATGAGTTGGTTGGCGTGGTTCGTTTGGAGATGAAAGGGTGCGGCAGGTTTGGGGCTTATTCATCGGCCCGGCCCACCAGGTGCATGCTCGGAACTGACGCTGTAGATTTTGAGTATGACGCTGATTCCGGGCTGCTGAGTTTCCTCATAGATCATTTGCCCCGAGAGGGAGACAAGGTTCACACGATTGAGATTGAGCTACGGCGATGAGTTAGTTAGTTAGTTATTTTTATTTTTTTAAAAAGCAGCTCATATAATTTATGACAGAGAGGAAGGGGAAATTGGCATTCCTTGGATGCTGGGCTGGACTTGGTATACAGTGAGAACAGGAGATCTAGTTTTCAACAGTTGCCCTCTTTGATTATTGTCCCACTTTAATGTTTACGAGACATTTTTCAAATGCTTAACATGTGCCAAAAACAATTTATTTCCTTGTTTTTCTTATAAATTTAACAAATATTTCCCTCGTAAAAGGTCATGAAGCCAAAAACTACTCATGATAATAAGTTAAAATATAATTAAAATATCACAATTGTTTGAAACATTAGCAAACGAAAAGGAGATTATGGATTAAAATGGAATATAATACGTTCTATCATGTTATTTTCCATTTTATCGTATTTCAACAATCCAAATAGTAATGACAACTGAAAAGAAGTTCGCCTCTGATATTCTCATGTATACATACACAAACAGGGCTAATAATAATGAATTCCCCCATACATAACAAGTAACCAGATTCCAGATGTTCGTCTTCAGTCTTGGTTAGAGACTCCATCATCCTGATGCTGCTCTAGAAGTAAACGCTCCAGCTCCTGTTCATATCCTTCATCCTCCCCCAATCCTGTTTGTCTATAAAATGTTTGTTTCTGGACAACCCAGTCATCAGCAATCTTCTCCACGACGTCTCCTATCAGTTCCTTATCTTGTGATATGTGCTTTATGTTTTGGACGTCTACAATTTTGCTTGCCTCTTTAAGGAGAAAACAAGACGAATAGAATTAGATAATGACAGCACCAAGAGTTAGGCAAATTGCCACAGCCAGACAAAAAAACATCCCAAACAGCCCCCCAAAAATTATTCAAGATTCAAAAAGTGGACAAAATATTGTCATTCTTTTTTTTTAATGAAACAATACAATCTATCGTCATAGTGGCGGTGGCGGCCTTTCAGGACGACAGGAGAAAAAGAAAAAAGCTTGGCTTCACATCAAGCAATCACTTAAAAAATAAGCCCATGCAGTAGGCACCTTCTGATGTAAAAGTAAAATAGGAAACGAATAAAACACCTTGAATAGCTACATTCTTGGCCTTAGCATATTCAGATGACTTTTTCTTCAGTAAGTCCAGGCTAACTTCCAAGCCCTGGCATGTGGAAAGGAGAAAGAAAGTTAGTTCAATGCAATGAGATCACAAACTAATGAAAAAACAATATATATTCCATACTAGGAGATTATGTCTCATCATAGATACATTAGTCTCCGAAATCAAATTCTACCCAGATACAGATGAAAGCAAGGATTGAGTCACATTTCATGCACAAGTCTTGTTTACAAATTATGGTCAACTGTCTTATGAATATAATCTCATTGTGTAGGAATAAAGGTGCGGAAGAAATAAGGAAGTTATTATCAGATATATGCAGATGAAAACCATATATCTCCACAGAAGTTAAATGGACCATGGACCTTATGGCCATTCCCTCAAATTTCAAATATGGCTAATTAGAAACATAAAATTGAGTAACAGGTAAGATCTTTTTAAAAAATCTTTTACATACTTCTATTTTAATGCCGGAAGCATCAGCTCAAAATTGGAGCTATTAGTTGGTTCAGAAGGCTTCTTGTATTTTACACAACAGCATTTCATTTGTAAATACCATCAGACCTTGTACATGCCTCCATGCCACATGACACGCTAGACGAAGAAGATTAATAATTTAATACAAGTTTAACATAAATTTATTGTTGAGAAATCTAATGGCAAATCAACGTATTAAAAAAATTAAATCATTTTACAATTAACAAAATATTAAGACTTACAAGGTCCATGTGGACATAGTTGTCGATTGAAGTGCTATCAAATAACCTGTCATCCTCATTGAATAGGTGAAAACAATAAGTTGGTAAGCTAATTACGTTATCAAAGTATCATGACAAGGAGAAAAGAATCTTGGATATAGGTGTAATGTGGTGATTTACTTTTCATATGCAACTTGAATGCGAGCATTCTGTAATTGTTGGAGTTGTTTTACTGTCTCCGTAACAGAACCTTCAGTCAAGTCGACAGCGCCAAAAAGGAACGTGTTTCTTTCCAGCATTTTTTTTACTAAAGCAGGTACCACTTTAATATTGTTTGCTTTTGCATCTACGACAAGGATTCTAAGTTTCTTTAATTCTCCTGTACATGGACATAAATTTAGGTTTTTACTATGAATCGTGACAAATGAGAAGGGAAAAATGAAGCATCAAAGCTGAGACAATGCACAACATACTAAAAATAAAGAATGAATATATTGAAATAGAGACACTGCACAACATATTAATAAAGACAGCTTTCTTCTGTCATACACATAGTTGTCAATCCCGAATAGCTGCGTGAAGTGGCTGACCTCAAAAACACTATAGCAGGATGCCCACTATCCTAAAGTTCTAACCTAATATAAAATTAATATCCAAACAGAGAGAAATAAAAAACAGAGAAAGAAATAAGAAAAGAGAGAAATGCTCAATCATTAGAAAATGTGCAAATTCGTCAAATGTTTTATCAAAGATGAAGAAAATGACTGGAAATGTTTGGATCACATCAGAAGCTTTGCCTAAGTTGAAGAAGACAACCGGAGATGAAGATGACTGGAAAACGTTTAAGTCACGTCAGAAACTTTGCTCGAGATGAAGAAAATAATTGGAGAACGACTCTGTCACTTCAGAAACCTCGTCAAAGTTGGAGAAGGACATTGGAAGCAAGAAAATGTTGCAGAGAAAGAAGATTGAGAAGAACAAACCAAAGAGAACTGAGGAGAATTGAGAAATGAAAATGAAAACTTAGGGCTTGATCGGAAGAAGAAGATATCAAAAATATAAAAGGGAGCAAAATACCAAGATTACTCCTATTTAAAGATGTCCAACATTAAGAAAAGAAGGGCAAAGTCGGGTTTTGGCCAGAGATGAAATAGCGGCCGCTGTGGCTGCGATTCTCCCGCAATTTAGCTGCTATTTGTGGCGCGATGGCCACTCCACTGAAATGCGACGCTACAAGCTCCCTATAGTGGCAACTTGCCGCTCCGTTTCTCCGTGATAATGGCCACTATTGACTACTATGGTCATACATTGCAGGAGATTTTGTTTCCCTAAAGGTTTCCTCTGCTTTGCGATTTCGTTCGACTTCACACAACCCTGTTTTGATCTGGTGATTGTGCTCTGTTCCAGCAACCTCATTTTGCTCTAGTGACTCTACTGTGCTCTGGCAACCTTGTCTACTCTAGCATGTTCATTTTGTTAGTGATGTTCCTAATATGGACAATTTAGACGATAAAGGAGATAATGAACCAAATGAAGATGAATTTGATTCTGACATTAAAATATTTTAGATATGATAAAATAGATTTCTAAAGTATGGACTTTGATTCAAATCATGTGTTTGATTTGGGTATTTAAATTTCTTTAATGTAAGTTTGATCTTAAGATTCATCCTTTAAAGTTTGTACTTTGAAAGAATTTTGTATGTAGTTTAGATTATATCTTATGTCTTTATTTTCTTCTTATTTATACTATTTCATTTGCATACATACATTTTTGTAGAATCTTATGATCTGTGTTATAATCCTACGAGTTATGATCTTTGATTTTCTCTTCGATCGTATGTAGAATCTCAATTTTGACTACCATGCTAATAACCACAATGGAGACATTTACCAATAAATAATTTGATCAAACACCAGATTTATAAAGCTTTAGCACATGCCGAACATGTCTATGCCTTTGACAAGGTCAAAAAAATTGGGTCTGTCATTAATGCACAACATTGTTGAGGTATTAATGCTCTAAGTTGGAAAGACTAGATTCTGTATAATGGGGGATGTTCCCCTTTGGAGGGGATGCACGAGAAAAGCATGTTTATGATATTCTACCATCCTAACTACAAAAAGTAGACTAAACACATGGAAGCAGACTTATGTTCATTCTATGACATATTATAATTGTGAGTACTGAATCACAAACACAAAGATACCGGTTTGGGTCTAGAAGGCTTACTAAAACAAATAAGCACAAAGCCAAAGTTAAAGCAATTATGAATAAATAAAAAATCTCACTCCTCCACACACATCACTAACTGTCTGTACAATGTAAGAGCAACAATAAAAAAAATAAAATAACCTTAATTAAACATAGTTTTTTTTTTTTTCAAGTGGAAAATTATCATACCAAGGGATAGATAGACCTTAAAAGGGGGTTTAAATGGTTGAGTCTCATAAAGACAGTAGAGGCAATAAAGGCCACCTAATCTGTGTGATAGAGATGCAGTACCAACCATGTAACCTGCATAGGAAAGAACATAAAGGAGTTTCTATACTGAAATGAAGCTATATAGTCTAATAAAATAAAACTTATACGCTTAAAATTGACATATTACTCATAATCCTTAGATAATAGTAAACTTTCACAAATATATTACAAATTTAATTTCTGTTTGGTTCACCACCTTTTATTTTTGGAAATTTTTTCCAGCATATAATAAACCATTCAACATGCAAATCACCCAGAAAGATCCTAAACTCAAGTACTCAACCGACTAGCTTCCATTTACCAATTATAGATATAAAAAAGGTGAGTAACAATCACAGCTGCCATACCAGCTAGACATTACCTATACAATGACCATACAGTGATTGCATAAAAAAGGCCAGGTTGCTAGATGGATAAGCTTCATAAATGTAGGAGAACTTCTTAGAAAGCCATACTCTTTTCATATCAGCCAAAGTTGTTGACTCGTCCTGTCACTCACCAAAATTGAACAGTAAATATTGATTGTTAACAACAAAACCATGGGAAAAAAGCACCCTGAATTTACCAAAGAAAAAAGAATAAAGTAAAAGCATTGGTCAATAAAGTTAATAATACCTGAGTGAATTCACCAATAAGTTCATCAATGTCCTGCTTGAAATAATCGACGTTCATGTTTAATAACCCTAGTTTGCAACTGAAAAATCTGCACCAGCAAGTTGTCAAAAAGATTGAAATTCGTTGTGCATCATTAAAAGATAAAAGTTAGTTAGTTGCTGCTTTTTACATGTATCATGATGATCAAAGATCAAAACACAGAGCAATGTCCAAAAGAAAAAGATAAAAGTTCACGAGACCAGAAAATTAGAAACTTAGAATCAGCACACTCTGTAACATCAATTGACTGTACCTTGAAATTCTTAAAACAATCTTGCAAAGTGCTTGGGACATCAAACAAAAGGCATGAAGGGAGAAGATCATAAGTTCAAATGCACTCCATCCTAAAAGACACTCTTCTAAAGAAATATTCAGCTAGAAAATGAGACGTGTTCTGAGTTTGAAACCAATTCAGTCACTATCAATGCCATTCACCATTTAGCATTCAATTTTACAATCCAAGCATTACAATAAATCAAGCTTTTGCTAGATATTCTACATTTGAGATGCCTTTTTTAGCCACCTAGTCAAATTTTTTTTTTTTTTTTTTGGGGGGGGGGGGGGGGGGGGGCACATGTGGTCTAACAAGGTATTCTTGGACCTGCCATCCATGGTGTATCACACGGGTCACCGTTGAAACACACATACAAAAGAGAACTGTGCAGAAAAGAGCACCGTAATTTATATCCATCGTTCTCGAACAAGTATTTTTTTTGCAGGATTTTACAGGCTCTATCGTAGAGCATGCCGAGAATATACAAACAACTTCACAAGAACATTAAGCAACACCAGGCATGAACACTTAAGGCTTACTTACACAGCACACAAACACAATGACCATCAAAGAATAATCCGAGGAGAGCAGAGACCCAATTAAATCATTACACATCAACCATTAAAATTTTGCTTTCTGATTTTTAGAAGCATAACAGAAATAGCGAACTGATTTAAAATATTCCATATCAAAGCACCCAGAAAACTGGATTTGTAAACGAGAAAGAGCGAGAATTAATGTCACCACAGATGAAATATTTGAATCAGCAGAAATTGAAGCAAAGATTAGGGCTCATGGTTGAGAAGAGTGGTGAGAGTAATGGAATATGGATTATATTGGAAGCGAAGAGAGCGTTACAAAGGCATGGTACCTGATATGGTTCAACTGCACTTGAAACTCTTCATCTCCAAGAGAGAGATAACAGCAACAACAATGTACAAAGGGGTTCCAATGCGTGCTGCGGAAAATGGATATTCGAACGTCCTCCCTGCTTCTCGTTTCTTGTTGGGGTCTCACTGGAGAAGAGAGTGAAAGGATTTAGGTTATTTTTTATTTTAATCTATTGTTAACTTGTGTCCAGGAAAGAATATTAAGAGTATCTGATATTAAATATACAAAAATATTTGAAAAAGAGAATAATTATTAACAATTATTAATTTTTATTTTTATTTGATTTTAAACGATTACTAATAATCAATTTTTAATTTTCCAACAATTTTTTTTATTCTTTTATAACTTTAATGTAATGACTTTTTAAAAAAAATATTATTTATGGTTAAATCTACTTCTAAAAGTTAAATTAAAAAAACTAATTTAATATTTCAAAATTTATCTAATACATACAATATCATACATAATAAAAACGCACATGTAATGTATTTTCATAAAAATTATAGCAGTTAATAATATCAATGATTTAAGATAAAATAAATAATTTGATTTTTAATAAATAAAAATATCATACATAAGTTCTTCTTATGTATAATATTACATGAGTTAAAAAAATATTGTTTTAAAATTATAAAAAAATTTAATATATATTATAATAATTTGAAATTTTAATAAAATATATTTAATGTTATTAATTTATGTAATTGAACATATTTAAAAATTGTTTATTATCATTTTATAAATTAATAAATATGTGATAATTTATTTAAATAATTAATATTTATAAAGTACAAAACAATAAATAATTATATTAAATAAAAGGCATAATAAAAAGGTGAAATAATATTTTTATAAAATTTAAAAGACTAACACTTTTCTTAATTTTTGAACAAAACCTTAAGTTTGAAAGGAAAGAAGAAAAAAAGAGTACACACTATCTTTAAACGAGTGTTAAAAACACCATTTTTAAGACACTAACACACTTAGTTACTATCTTTAGTCTCATTTGTAACAAACCATTACTAATATTTTTCTGCCTTAAATATAAGAAATAAATATAATTTTTTATATACATTAATTATAAAATCCTTTTTATACTTTTATTGATTGTAAAATTTAAATTAAATATATGAAACACTCACCCTTGATTTACGTAGACCGATATATTCATTGATTTAATATATAACATACTGATTAGATACTTTTTTATGATAAATAAAATCAGGAATAGTATTAACTAACATGTATTAAATAATATATAACTATAAAGGAGAATCATTAAATCAAGAAAAAAAATAAGTTAAATTCACACAGTTTTATAAATTTTAATAAACTATTGCTAACAATTAAAAGTATTAAAAAAGTGCATTAAAAAATATGTTGATAATTTGTCTGAGCGGTGACAGCCTTACTAAGTTCCGAAGCACTAATTAGTATCTAGAGAAGAACTACATGTTACATTCTCGGTTCTCAACTACCATATTTCCTTTATAAATCAGTTTATTTTCACTTTATATAAACATCATATCGCGCTTAGCAATACAAAATTAAATATACCTAAATCGATTTTACCCACTCTAAAACAACCCAACACTAACTGTTCAACAACGTTTGTATGGAAACTTGTCGCAAAAACGAAAAAGGTTATTAAAAAGAACAGTGGTAATTTATACGCCCAGTTAAGCATAATCCAATACCATAGGAATGGATTCCTGAGTAGATGCACGAGATGCCTCAAAGAAAAGAGGATTCCCGATGGAGTAAAATGAGCCCAATCCAAAGAATCTGCAGCTCCCGAATCCTGATGTTTCCACACTGAGGGGCATGCATTATTACATTGACATATCATCTTAAGGAAGGGATCTTTTCGTGCATCTAATCCAGAAGTACACTAGAATTTAAATATTCACGTCCAACCATCCAAATCTCCACATTTAAATGTACGAATATAGCCTAACAGAGAACTACAACTACACAAGTAAAATACAATAACCTACCGTCACAAAGTACAACCACCTAAAACAGAATGTGCAGATTCATCAAAATATCACAATGTTGTCTTTTCTTTTCCGTCCCCTTCCTTTGCTCCTGAGGGGTCTCCCTTGGGCTTTCCCATCCTCCCCTAAACAAAAATTAAATATATAAAATCTAGAATTCCATCTTCACTAGAGCATTGGAAGCTTCAGCTGCTCCATAATGCATCCAGTCTTTGGCACATACAAGGGCCTCAACCGTCTCTGGCCGCAAGGAACTTCGGTACTGATCCATCTCCTTGACTTTTGTGTCAAAAACAGAGTCAGGAGGAACACTCGAAACTGGAACAGACAGTATATCCCGGGCCATCTTGGAGAGAGTAGGATACTTGAGTTTGTTTAGCTTCCACCAACCTAATACGTCAAAGTCTGGAACACGTGGCAATAGTGACTCTTCTAGGTACTGGTCCAATTCAGACTTCATTTGTTGGTTAGTAGTTTCCATGATGTAAACATCAAAATCTGTCAATCCATTATCTGACAACAGAGTTCCACCTGGAGATCCCTCTGTCTTTGTCTGACTTCCAGCACTTCCTTCTTCTGCATAAGCTGGTGTAAGTGGCAAGGGAAGGGTAACATACTCATGAAATAGCTCATGAATTCCATCATCAACGATCTTGACATACATATGGGCGTCATCGCCATAGACTTTTGTGAAACTGAACTCAACAAGTTTCATCTTGAAACGAGGATCCATAACTACTGCAATTGCCAAAACCAGGCTACAATCTTTCCAGTACTTATCTACCTTTTCTTGCATAGGTTTAGTAAGGTTGCTAATGAAGGGATCCTCATTCACAACAGCACGAGCCAGATCCAACTGCAATTTCCAAACTTCATGAAAGAAGGTAATTGCAGTGGGATGAGTTGTTGTGGTAAGAATGTTAACTGCATCAAAAATGGGCTTCAAGTATGTGCAGAGGGTCTCAACCAGCTTCCAATCTTGCATAGAAGGGGCTCCCTTGTAATCAGGATCAGAAGTGTCCAAACAAGAAAACACTTCTTTTAGCTCAGAAGCTGCCACCAGCATTTGATATGTTGTGTTCCATTGAGTTTGGTCATCAATAAAAAGGTTCCTTTCACTGGGGACCTGAAGTTGCTGCTTGAGCTCCAGAAATTTTTCCTCATGTGATTCAGAAGTCTTCACATATTTTACACTATCACGGATTTTCTTAACTATTCCGTGCACTGAGCTCAATAAATCATTTGCAACATTGCTTAAAGTTCGTGCAATGCAATTTCCAACTAGCAACTGACCATTGAGTATAAGTGGATTCTTCACAGAGAGTAACGGTCTGAGATTTCCAAGGGCAACTTCACTCAGAGTCTGATTACAAGTAATAGAAAACAGCCTTCCCTCCAAATTCCAATCAGAAAGGCAAACAGCTACAGCATGGCTGAGAGCTGAATCAGAATTAGGGTATGGTTCCATTACAACATTGAGAATTCTCCTCTGCAACTTCCAATCACTGTCGACAAAATGTCCAGTTATAAACACATAGCCTACAGATTGGCTTGAGGTCCAGACATCTAGTGTCAAACAAACACGTCCAGGTAATCCCTCAAAGTACTTCATAAGGTTTTGTTTTTCCATCAAGTAAGTTGCAACACAATCTCCTTGAACAGTGTTAAATGTCACCATATTGAACTGGGGCTGCAGATTTTGGACAAATGCAACAAATCCGGGATGCTCAACCATATGAAGGGGATAATCATGCATAATGATCATCCTAGCAATCTCATGGCGGCAGCGATCTTGATCAAAAATAATGTAAGGAGTACTAGGGGATCTGTAGCGTCGCTTTGGTGTACTGCTAGCATTGCCAGCACCACTTCCCCTTGAACGTGGAGTATATGGTGTCAACTGATTTGGATCTTGGTTACGCAGAAGAGCTGGGCATGTCCCCTTGGCAATGTGGCGTTTAAGGTGGCTAGTACCTGCAACTTTTGAACCAGTACTGTAGGCAAAACTTTGCTTACATTGCTTGCAGCATGCCCTTCTACATCCAGCACTGACTGTTTCTATGGTGAAGTGTTCCCAGACTATAGACTTCTTTTTCCTCCTCTTGTTAGGCTGTGTGTCTGGGGTAGGTTCCTCACTCAATGGAGTTTCAGCATTTACGATCTCATAGCTGGGTACATTAGTAGCATTGACTATCTCATAGTGTGGTTGAGAACTGACTAGTCGATTGTCATGCAGTGCTTCACTATTTTCCAGCTCATAGTGAGACAACATTTGGGAATTGGCTAGATGTTCATGGGACAGTGTCTCAGAGTGAGTTAGCTGATGGTTGGGCATTACCTCAGAATGGTCCATATGATTGTTTGGCAGTGTATCATACTGGGCCAGATGATTATGAGGTATTGGTTTAATGTCTGTGAGATGACTGTCTGCCAGCGGTTCAGAGCTAGGCAGTGGATCAGAATTGGGCAGCGATTCAGGTTGAGGCAGCTGATCTTCAGGAATCATATGGAGATCAGAAAACTGATGATTATGAGAAAGACTTTCTGTATGAGAGAGCTGAGTGTTGGGATTTGTTGCGGAATTTGCCAACTCATTTTCAGCTAGAGATTCAGACATGACCACATCGTTGCCGGTCTGTGCTTCTTGTATGACAGTGTCGTGATTGGGCTGTGTCTCAGGGATGACTGTCTCACTGCCGAGCTGCGTGTCAGGCATGACTACCTTCGTATTGGGCTGTGCATCTGACATGACTACATCACTGCTAAGCTGTGTTTCAGACATAACCACCTCATTGCTTTGCTGTGTTTCAGATAAAACCACCTCATTGCTATGATGCGTTTCAGATACAGCCACCTTGTTGCTGTGCTGTGTTTCAGATGCAACGACATCATTACTAGTCTGTTGTTCAGAATTTACCACACCATTATTTGGAAGTGTCTCAGAATTGACCAACTGATCACTGGACGGAGCCTCAGATGCAGGATTCTGGTCAAGAGTAGCTTCAGAACTGGCAAGCTTATCGTCACCTGGAGCTTCAGAGCTGGCTGATGTATTCTTGGTTGGTGCCTCAGAATCAACAGGCTGATTGATGTGTGGGTCCTCAACATTGGTTGACTGGTTGTTTGGTAGAGACTCAGAATTTTCTAGCCCACTGTGAGGACGTTGTTTGGTGTTGTTCAACTCTTGGTTGGGCAATGTCACTTCATTTGCATCACCAATAGAAGGTTGGGTCTCAGATGCAGGAAGTCCTTTGTTAGATTCAGCTTTGGAATTGGAGAGATCCTCATTGGGCTGAGACGCAGAATTATCCACATTACTGTCAGTGTGATTTTCAGAATTTGCCACATCATTGCTAGTTTGAAAATCAGTACTGACCGGCGCATTTTTCACATCAGGGGCTGCAACCACTTTGTCTTCTTCAACAGCAACCATCTTATCTTGATATGTATCTTCCTGCTTTACCTAGAAATAACAATAGATAATTAATGGTGAATTCCAGACAGATGCATTTATCCAGTACTACAGATACGAAGAAACATAAGATCACCAGCCTATCAGATATCAACACTCCCTCACAAAATATACTGGTTCAAATTAACATAAACATACATTGCAATTGTCTGCACGAATACATTATATTGGAAAGCCAAAATCATTGATAGTGAATCATGGAGGAAGCAAAGGAATTAAAAACCCAAAAAATAAGTAACCAAAAAACAATTATTAATTGAAATAAAGCATGTATAGTATAAACAACTAAATGTGAATTGTAAACCATGCTTGCAGACAAGACAGCCAGTGAAGTTTGAAAACGAGGTTGTACCCTTGAGCTAATAATAAAATGGATAAACCTGCATATCAGTATTGCACTTGCTAACATGGTCTAAGAGTTTAAAAGTAACTCCTCATCTTACTATCGCTTTGCATCTTACTTTGTCAAGAGTAAAAGGCCTAACGGGTAGTTCCATGGCCATCCTACACACAAGTCTATCTTTGTTTTTTTGGGTCGTGACATAAGTCTATCTGACTAACTACATCTCCATTGAACATGTTGGATGCGCCATAAGGCCCTGCATACGGTGAAATCCCCAAGTGCCGTGAACCCAAAGAAGACATGGGCCCACAGTTGGGTCTAGTCGGCCCAGCTCAATCTATAAAAGAAATATTTAACAACAATATGCAGAAAACAGAATTCATCAGCGGAAGATGTCCATAGCATATTCTCCATCAAGTACTACTCACAGAGCCTACATAAACCATAGACATGGTCAACCTAAAAAGTCAAAGCTCAAATATCAGATCTTCAACGCGACACCCACAGCAGAAACTGATAAAAATAACATATAAAACCCAACAAAAAAACACAATCCAAGATGGATCTAACTAGTTTTGACAATTAGCCAAGGTCAAGCAAATCATCGCGGAAACAACCGAATCCAACGACGTGAAACTGAAAAAATACCGAATCACGTTATGATTCCGACAACCAAAGCTTAAAACACTAGATTGGAAACTTAACTAGTAGAAAAATGACTGATTCATGGAAAAATAAAAATAAAAATAGGCTTAGGCTGGAAAAGTTTGAAAAATTGAAAAATAGAAAAGTTAGGGTCAGTGACCTACCAGATATACGTATTTGAAGAAAATCTGACGGTGAAAACGCCGGATCCGAAGCGAAAACGGAGCTTCGGGGCTCACCGGAGAGAGATCTAGGGTTTTGCAGAGGAGAGAGAGAAAGAAGGAGGGCTCACCGGAGGGAGATGGAGATTGGGCCTGGGAACGAACCCGAGAAGCTAATTGGACCTTCGAGTTCGAGGGTTTCTGGTATTTGGTATGTGGTTCGTACAGGTTCGGGAGATAAGGTTTCTGAAAAGATTTAAAATAGGGCAATTCTTTTGGATTTAGAATTTGGACCCTTCAGGTCCATTATTATTATTTATTGAATTCAATTTATTGGTTTTTCTTCTTCTCCTCCTCTTTTTTTTTTTTTTTTTGAAGATTCTTTGTTCCTTTCTCACCCTTTTTCAGACGTAAAATTTCCCAATGGGAACGGACCACAGTGGCTTAGCTAAGCTAATAGCCCACCCCCTAATGAATATGGTTTTTTACTCAGTCATTGGGGTTAGGACCGTACGTGTAGGGCGTGCGAGTGAATAGCCCACCGAATGAAGTGGACTATTTCTCAGGTGAGGGCCCCCCTTCTCTTCCCTTACTTTGGTTTCTTTTCTTGGATAATTCTCATTTTTAGCCCAATCATATCTACATGTTTTTCTCGATGCTTCGTCTCAAGCATCTGTGAAATTCAATCTCATCCAACTGCCCTCTCCCACCTATTCAATCTGACTAGGATTCCATCCTTTTTTCTTCACCTTTTCGTCATTCAATTTCCAATTATAATTTTTTGGGTCAGATTTCTGTTCTCTTCTTTTATATTTCATTTTACTTACAAATATTCAATTCCCACTTAAAAAGTCTGGGTTTAGAAGTTAGTCAGGCTTGGGACAATAAACAGGTCGCTTAAGATGACGGGCAAGGTTTTGGCATGTGAGCTTATTATATTAATATTAAGGCTTTGCCATTGGTTTCAGGCTTTCAGAGTGGATGGGCCTTGCAATTTGGTAACGAGAGGCATTCCCAATTTGCCGTCATCCTCAATTGTCGATGTGACCAAAACCAAGCTACATAGTTCGAAATGGTGTGGTTTTCAAATCATTTTCAACACGACCAAAATAATAATTTTCAATTCAGGGGGGAAAAAAAGTACCATGAGCATTCCCCTTTCCTACAAGGAAGAAATAACTTCAACTAAGATTGATCATTTTTAAGGACTTAAACAAGTATGTTGATTTGTTGGCTAGTATGGCACATGAGGAGCACATTTAATGTATTTTCTTATATCGATTCCATATAACCTGTTGCCCTTATCAAGATTGTATTTTTTAAAATTGATTGTCCTTAATCCTTTAGACAGTGTAGTTCCCTTGAATATACATGTATAATAACACAGTCATACTTAAAAAGTATGATGTATTTAACATTTTTTTTTAACTGTAATCCACAAGTCACTTGTCGTGTTTTTATGCTAGGGTATGTATTAAAGCTAACATATTATGTATTAATTTTGAGTACAGTTTTTATCCATTGGGAGTATTAATGTTTTTATATTACTAATCAATCATGATATATGATAATATATATAGTTTTTAAATTATTTTATATTTTTTTATTAATATAATAACATAAAGAACATTATACACTCGATATGTTCTAATTAAATTTATTAACTTTTTATATTTAATATATATATAATTCTATTAAATTTGTTGTAGAAGTCTTTGGCCTTTTAAAGTTTTTATTGTCTTTTAATTTGGAGGTATAACGTGATATAAAAAAAAAATCCACATAAATATATTAAAAACAAAAAATCCAGTCAACGGTGAGACTGTTAAAGTACAGCAAATCCAGTAAATTGAGTCATTTAATCTACTACAAAATTATATTAAATTCAAGAAATTTCAACCTAAACCAAGTCAGCTCAAAATTTAGTTGTCTACTTGTTCTATATCTTCCTATGATTGAACTTATTGTTCAATTTCAATTCTACCTACTAAACTATGGTTAAAAAAAGAATAATAAGAACCTATTAAAAATGTTATTTAATTGGGCCAGGTTAGACAAAATAGAGGAAATGGGCCGATAATTGGACTGAAATTTGAAGTTACTTTGTCAGGCCAGACTTTGTTGCTTGCGGGCCTGTTTGTTCCAAATCACTATCCAGATAAATATTATAAGACAAAAAATAAATAAAAATTGATTAGTTATAAGGATATATATATATATATATATATATATATATATATATTGGGAAATACTTTAGTTTTTTTATATCAAAATAATTTTAATATACTATTAATGAAAACATTTATGTACTGTTGATCATTTAAAAAAAACGAAAATATAACATTTATATTAATTAATAAAAAATAATAATACTTGTCAATTTGAAAAATTATTATTAAACAATAATATAAAATATTTTACTATTAATATATTTTAATTAAATTTATAATAAATATTAAAATATTCATTCTATAATATTTGTATATGTAGATTTTTCTTTTATAGTGAATCTTTATGAATTTTGTTTAAAAAAATAAAAAAATAAGTTCTTCAGATTCATTTGAACAAATTTGTAATAATTTATAAATAAATTATGACTCTTATAAGTTATTTTTAATTCATTTCAGTAAATAATTTGGTATAGTTTATTAAAATAAGTGAAACGTCTTCAATTTTTTATAAAAATAAATAAATAAATTTTTATAAAAAAAATAGAAAAATAGAGAAATTTTATTGTATTTTATAGATTTAAGAATTGAATAAAAGTAAAATTTACACTTTTCTTATAAAAATTTTATAAGATTCAAAAGTATTTAAAATTCTTGAAGGAATAATTTTGAGACTTTAAAATGATAAATAAAATTTATTAAAGTATTTTAAAACTCAAAAATTAATATTTAAAGTAATAACAAAACTTTGTCAACTTAAAATATAAATTTAATAAAATATTATAATTTTTTAAACTATTTTAAATTTTATAGAGTAGCCTTTTTTCAAAAGGTCATTGGATTATAGACCTAAAACGGACTAATTATATTTATTTTTTCACTTTTATTATCTCTCGCTCAACTAAATCTCTTATTTGACAAAAGAAAAGTATATATATATAAATATAATATTGAAAATATTATATCATATATATATATATGATTAATAATAACACTCAGAGCATACAAATTATTATCACAACGGAACACGTACATAATAACCAATCAATCATCTTTATAAATATGTATGGTATATATTTTTATACTAATCTATATGTTATGATACACATATTATACCACGTCAATTAATATGTTACAATACATGTGTCCTAATTACAACATCGATATATTACAACACATATATTATAACAACATCAATCGATATATTATAATGCATATATTATAATAATACAACTTTTATAATACTTCATATTCGTCACACTCCTACATTCATAGCCCCTATGATCTTTTGAGGACTTCATAGCATAAATAATTATTAGTTAGTTGCAGTAACACAAATACACGTGTGCCGATCCAGTTTCTTTTAGCAAAGATATAGTCAGGAGTCTCATCAAGAAATGAATGTGTGACCTGTGAATGTTTTTACTTTCAACAAATCATTGTGCACCTATTTACAATTAACATTCATTACCCTAATTTCCACAAGATTTTTCAAATCTTCTTCAAGCTCTATATTTCCAGTATCTCTTTGTAATTATTTTTCATATCATTATATTTTCTTGATTTTTTTCAACTACTCTCGTTCTTTTTCATATTCTTCTCATAGATCAACATGTCGTCATATTACATGAGTTTTAATTGCACAACTTAATATATTATAATACATGTATTATGAGTACACTATTTGACATACCACAATACCTGTATCATAATTCTATTCATCAATCTATTATGGCTCATGTATTATAATCACAATTCTCATATTTCCACCATCATGTCATATCATTTCATTATATACACAAAACTCTTTCTTCATTTATGATTAGTTAAACACTTTTCATCAATAACATAACTTTATTTATTTTGACATATTTCAGCTATCAAACAATATATATATATATATATATATATATATATATATATTCATTATATCATTTAATAGTGAAATATCATTAAACAATTTCACACTACACAAGCTAATACAATGTGCTAAAAGTCGGACACCTCCGTACTCAGTTCATTCATACAATCTAACATACACACACTTGCTCAATATCAATACAATCATATATCCTAAAGTTTCACAACATCCAATATTCACAGTATATCTATTATTTCAAAAATATTAAATGTAAATTTTAAGTTACATCTAAAAAAAGTTTACTAGTAAATAATAATATTTTTTGAAATAGTTTTGTTCAGAGCTTTTGTCATAAATTATATTTTGTTAGTTTTAAAAATAAGCATGGGGTTTTCATGTCAAACTCTCTATTCATACACATTAGATTTTAAGAAAATATTAGAGTTTTAGTAGAAAATTTAGTATTTTCAAATCAAAATTTAAAAAAGAAGTTAGGGTTTGGCACCACTTCTCTTACCTGGAAATGAGTCTCTCAAATCGGATTTTCTTAAAAATCTGAGGAAGAGATACAACGTACTGATAAAGAATATTGTCTTAAGGGTTAACATTTATTGGATCTGAATAATTAAGCTCTCAAATATAGATTTGAAGGAAGATTGAGGTTTAAACGAGAATTTATGAGAAGAGAGGGTGAGAAACCAAAGAGAACAGAGGAGAGGTCAAGATTTTTGGATTATGATCCAATTTTCTAGGTTGGAGACCTTTAAATACATCTTAATTCGCGATATTCTTGCTATAGCAAACTCTTCCCTTACTGCAGCAAAAAATAAAAAAAATAAACAAATTTTCTTTACTGTCTATCATTTTAGCTACAGTAAGATACCTTACACCAAAACTCTTATTTTTTCATACAAGGGCCACAAAATTAAAAGTGTTACAATAAGTTATTTTCAACTTATCCAAATAAATTTATTGTATAAAATATATTTCTAAAAAAAGCTAATTAAATAAGTAGTTAAATGAGTAAATTATTCAAATGCGTCCTCAATTTATCTACATGCCTATGAGTTTTAACTATGAAAATTAAGGTCCATTTGATAAATAATTTTTTTAGTTCTAAATAATAACATCGTTTCTAAATGTTAAAAAAATTGAATATATATATAGAATGGTACCCAATGATTT